AATAGAGGAGAGGGAGAAGGGGCAGGAGCAGCCCATGAATAGAAATGAGGGAGATTAGAAAAGATGCAAGAAGGAAATAATTACACTCAGCACACTGCTCTCCTTGTCCATATCTCCGCCACCTTCACCACCTTCAAAGGTTTCCGTGGAGACAAACTCCCTGTTGGAGCAGCCTTGGGGAGGGAAAGGGTAGGATTTGAGCCCCTTTGAGGGAGGAGGATGATCCCTCTGCCAATAGCAGGATGTAGCAGGCAGTGCCTGTCTCAGGGACACTTCCACCCCATCTCTAACTTCTATCATAAGGCATTGTACCATCTTTCAGCAAAATGTTATTTCCTCATCCTCACTGCACTTCTGGCATAAGGGGACTCCGGGGTTGAATGACTACCCTAAAGAAGAGTCTCAGGGGGTTTTGTGAAGCCTCATCTCAAAAGTGCTGGGAGGCAACCCAAGAACCTAAAGACAGATTCCAGACACACTGCAGGGTAAATGGCACCTTGGGGTGAAATAATTATGGGGAGCATCAGGAACTGCAGCCCTAGGCCTACAGCTTCTGTGGCCCTCATGAGAGACCTGGGTTAAAACTTCCTAGCTGAGTTGTAACTCAGAAACCGAGATAATAAGTGTTTGTTTCAAGCTATTAAGGTTCAGGAAATTTATTACATAGCTGAACACAACCAGCACACATATGGGGAGTGAGTCAGGGACTGGCTCAGGGATGGGCCCCACCTCCAATATCCAGAGACAACTCTGTAGGGACTCGCATGACTCCTCTTTAGGGTGGTCGTCTATCCCTGAGTCTCCTTATGCCAGGAGCAAAGAGCGAGGGCAGGGGAGTGACTGTCTTCCTGAGAGGTCTGCAAGGGAGTCTTGGAGGGATGGAGGGAGAGGGAGCTGTGTCCTCCATCACCCCCTGCGGGAACCTGAAGGGCTGAGCCTCCAGGATCCAGTGCCTCAGAGGTTGCAGGGGCTGCCAGGGACCACAGAGCCCTCTGCTGGAAGGTTTGGATGGTGACCCTGGCCTGGCTCAGAGGCCTGGCTGAGCCTGGAACCCCCACAGCCCAGGTGGGCAGGATGGGAACTGAGAGGCCTGGTGAGTTCCAGCCACTCTGCAGGCAGCTGGCACCTGAGGTGAGGTGATCAACTGCCCTCATTCTCCTGCAGGGCCATGTAACAATCATGTATCAAATCATTTACAAAAGTAAAACAACAGTTTCCTGGACAATATTCACCCTTGGTGTGATGGCCTCATCTATTGCATCCTACTCCATTTCTGTGTGCTCAGTTCTGCTCTAGAGGCAAAGCAGGAGAAGTGCTGTGGGAGTGGGTGAGAGTCACCAGAGCCTTTCCAGGGCGAGTCCCAAACTGCAGCTGCTCTGGGTGTCCTCATCTGTGGCCCTGGGCTCTGGGCAGCAGAGACAATGCCCTATTCACGCTCTATCCTGGTGGCTCCTGGAAGAAACCTGGAATTCTTAGAACCTGCAAACCTTGGAGAAGGTCCTGGGGGCAAAGTCCTGGGAAGGAAGGTGTGGCTCACAGGCAACCAATTGTGGTAATTGACCTGTGGGGACTTCTCAAGGCCCAAAGTGGGGTCAGGAGCTGTGGGTCCTGGCTCCTAGATGATGTTCCTCCTTCATCCAGGTCTTTCCAGTTCCTGAGCTGCCTTTTGTTCTAGCTTAAATCACTTGCATATTTAATCCTCTCCTGGAGTTGGGTCATGGGGTCAGCAGTAAGGAGCTGGTAGCATTGAGGGTCCAGAATCTCAGATTCGGGGGTCTGGCCAGTCATAGGCATGTGTGTGGGTGAACACATGAGAGGCCCACTGCCCGGACTTTGGAACCAGCCAGACCTGAATGCAATTCTGATTTTTCCACTCACAAACTGTGTGACCTTGGGCAAGTTAAATCTGTTTTTTTTTAATCTTTAAAAAAGGAATAATAATGTCTATTATGCAGTCTTGGTACGAGGATTAGCTAACATGTTAATGAAGTAAAATACCTGGTAATCACATGAATTAAAAAAGTAACACTTGTTATAATTAGTGCTAATAATAATTACAATAATACTGAATAAAGCTTCTCTGGAGCAGCTCTGGGCATTCCAAGTATTCTACTGTTACTCAAATTTGGGGACAATTTGTTTGACATTGTCTCATTCTCAGAAACACTCAGGAGAGGAAACAGATTATAGGGTAATAAACAGCTTTAAAAAGAAACAGCACATACACACAGTTTTGTTTTAAAATTTTAAAATTATTATTTGTTATATATGACAGCAGAATACATTATGATTCATATTACACATATATAGCAAAATTTTTCATATCTCTGGTTGTATATAAAGTATATTCACACCATTTGTGTCTTCATACATGTACTTAGGTAATGATATCTATCTCATTCCACTATCTTTTTTACCCCCATGCCCCCTGTCTTATCCTTCCATCCCTTTGCCCTATCTAGAGTTCATCTATTCTTCCCATGCTTCTCCTCCCAACCCCACTATGAATCAGCCTCCTTATATCAGAGAAAACATTCGGCATTTGGTTTTTGGGGATTGGCTAACTTCACTTAGCATTATATTCTCCAACTCCATCCATTTACCTGCAAATGCCATGATTTTATTCCACACACACACACATTCTGAAGAACCAAACCAACACACTGACTCTTGACAAATATTCAATTTGATTACAGCAAAAATTTAAGTGATATGTTCCTTCTTGGAAAATGCATACAGTGACTAGTCCTAGCTGAGGTCCTGCACTGTGTTGGGCCAGTGTTCCCCAAGCCTCCAAGGCCCTCCCATTTCATGTAGCAGAATACATCTAAAGAGTGTGGGTGGGGAAGGACAACAAGAGTAGAAAAGGTGGCCCATGAAAATTCATGCTGATAAGGACTGGGGAGTAGTGTCTTTTCCACTAGTGGATGATCTTCATAGCTCACATCATATAAACCCTGAATGAATCTAGTTTTAGCATTTAGTGTTTAGAATTCCAAGGTTTTGATTTTGCTTAAGAAAATTGAATGAAATTTATGAACAAGAGAACCTATTAGTGAGATTAAGTTATCCTCATCAGAAAACACATTTTTGGTAAATTATAGACTTCCAAGGCAAAATCATGGCCTTTCCCTTGCTGTCCACTGGATGGCACTAACGGACCAATATAGATCCTGCTAGTTCCGCGGCAACTAATACCGTGAAGATATTAAATGAGTAAATTCTATTCTATTCTCTTCCAAACTAGATTTTTCTCTATTCCTTACAATTAGGCACAACTTTTAAAGCATCATCTCTATCACATGAACGAAAGCACATTATTTTCACCTGGGGGTCTGGGAGCGGTGGGGAGCTGCCCTAAGGCAGTGCCTGAGCCTCTGACCTTCCATTCCCTTCCCTGGATGTACAGTAAGTAGGTGCTAATGATCATATACTAACAGAAAACTGGGCACAGCCTAAAAGCTTCGTATCATTTAATCGCTTAATCTCATTTAATGTGTGTCTACTTTTTGTAAAATAAACAATAAAAAGAACTTAAGCCCAAAGAGGCTAAACAATTTATTCAAAAAGATGGAGATGGTCTTGAGCCTGGGTCTGTAAAACCTCAGGATTATGCTGTGCTGCTAACCAAGGTTTCTGTTTTCTAGGGTTTAACTCATGAGTCACCTTCTGCCTGATCATACTACTCACTTTCCAGAGCTCACAGAGGAGAGAGTGCCAGAATGTTTCCCAGGGTACTAGGCTGGATTAGGATCTTTTGTTTGGCAGCCCAAAGTGTACATGTAGGTCAATCAATCAATCCAGACTAGTCTACAGCTGAAGCATCTATTTTATTTGCTAATGGTCTTTGGCTAAGAGGAAGCAAATCATTCCTAAGCATTCAGTTAATTGCTTTCAGATTCCTCATGGTCTCAAGGCACATTTTTCCCCCCAAGTGTATTTTCTATTGTCAACGTTCTTTTCAGTTTGTAGGGCAGTCTGAGTTGGCAGTCTTAGACTTTTAGAGCTGTTTTAAGCTGAGATCAAAGAAACGTCCCAGCTAGGAAATCACTTCCTAGCTCAGAAACCAGCTTCCTTGGATATTCAGTGTTGGAAGAAGCCCAATGGTGGGGGTAAGGGTGAAGGACAAGCTGACATGTCTCATTGGGTCTAGTCTAAGCCTTGCCCATTTCATCAGATTCAATGGGAATTTTTCAATAAGACTAAAATATAAAGCCATGCAAACATGAGTATGGTTCCATTTTTTAAAAAGCACACATTTTTTTTTTATTTCTAAATGAGCTGATTTAATTGTTAATTCAGTATTATATTTTTATATTAAAAATAGTAGCATACAAGGCATATATATGACTTAGAGGCAATTTTTTAAGTATCTCTGATTGCACAGCCCTCTTAAGATAATTGTGTGGACTCCCACCCCCTTCCCATCAGATTATATAAACAGTATCCTAGACAGAACATTTTTTCACTTTTTACTGGTTCATATTTGTTTTACATGATAGTAGGGTTCATTCTGAAGTGATTATAGAGGCACAGAATATAATTTGCTCTAATTCAGTCCTCAGTGATTCCCTTCTCTTCTCCTCCCTCCCCGTTTTATTTCCTCTCCTCTACTGATCTTTCTGCTATTAATATATATATATATATATATATATATATATATATATATATATTTTAAATTTTTTATTGTTGGTTGTTCAAAACATTACATAGTTCTTGATATATCATATTTCACACTTTGATTCAAGTGGGTTATGAGCTCCCATTTTTACCCCATATACAGATTGCAGAATCACATCGGTAAAAGCACGCATTTTTATGGACACAAAGTTGGAAAGATTTATATAGTGGTTATATCCAGTTTGAATCTTCATCTGTACTTTTCTGTATTTCCTGTTTTTGATAGCCTGAATGTGTATTCCTTTTTGTAACCAGAAAAAAAAAATCAAGCTAGCTGGTTATATATATCCAAAATAACCCACAATCTCACTAGAAAGAACTGTTTGCTAGAACTTACTTTATTCATCAATTTACAAGAGGGCATGAAATAATTTTGAATCATAATAATAATGATGAAAGCAAATAATTTATTTAGGCCAAAAAAGGAAATGTCACAAAAGTTAGCAAAGAAACAACCCCTATGTACTATACTAGATAACCCATTTGCCACCTTCGAAACCCTGGGCATCTGACGGGGGTGTGGGGGGGTGCCTAAAGAGAAGCCTGAGGAGGGGCCTGTAGCTCTCTGGGGTCTGTCCAGAGGCTCTTCCTCGGTTGCCTATGAGGCAAAAAGCTTATTCTCAGTTTATGATTTTTCATATGGCCAGGGCTCTGCAAATCCAGGACAACAGTGAATTCAGAGTTCAAATTTTCATTTAACTCCTTAATTTGTATAGTCAGGGGCCAAAAAGAGGCTGTTCAACTACTGGCATCAGAAATAGCACACCCGCTTGTTCTGTGACTGTCCCACTACTGAACTGCGTCAGTCCTTAGGTGAATTCCACCTTTCTTCCTTGCCCCACCCAGACTCTTCCCCTAGTAGCATGAGAGCCCTATCACTTTGTCCTCATGCCAGTAGGCTGGCAGGCAAAGAAAGTAGCTGTCACACCAGAGGGAGGATTGATCCTGACCATGGGGAGGAGTAAGACTGCTGTCTGGGAGAGGCAGAGAGGTGATCATTGGGACATCTCTCAGTGCTCCCATGCCCACTGTCACTGCATTGGTGAGCAAAAGAACTATAGCCAGGGATGAGTCTCGGACTGGATGCCATCAGTAGAAGTGCCTGATGGGCAGCAGGGGTCAGGGTGTCTAGCATGAGTAGGAGGAAGGTGATGAATTGAAGGCAAAATCCAAACTAATGACCAACTGCAGCAGCAGGTGGCAGATGTAGCTTTAAGCTAAGTAGGACTTTTACCATGTTCCCTAGTGGAAGTGTTCCCTTAGGATCCAAGACCTCTAGACTCATTGAGGCTAAAATTGCAGGGATAAGTGGGAACAAATCCCTCATGTGGGTCACTAGGAGTGATAATGAGCAAGCATGATATCTTTGCTCTTGGATTCATATATTCTGCCTACTGGGGCTAAGCCCTATAATGTAGCCACCAGTTCAAGGCACATACTGCATCCAGAAGGATGGCACTCCCTATCCACAGTGCCATGTCCAAAATTGCAGCTCTGCCTTGCCTTTAAAAGGCTGTTCCACTCCTCTATCAGGCCAATCACTTCTGAATGGGGTGGTGGGACCATATTTCAGTGGTCATATGTCCATGTTTAATCCCTTGATGAAAGCAATATTACACACTGTGCCCCTGAGCCTGGTGGGGGCTGAAGAAATCGACTTCTCTTAATAGTACCATACTGAGGGCTCAGCATGGATCTCTCTAGCAGGTTGGACATTTAACAGGCTGGCAGCTAGTTAGGACTTTTTTTTTTAATAAAGAAAAGCAGCCTTGCTTATACAGACCCTCATTTGGATGAGTCTGGAGTCAGAGTCTTGGAAGTTTGACTATTTTATTATCCTACAAATTATATGTTCTAGCAGGGAAGCACCGTTACCCCTGTAACTCTGACTAAAGAACATCTCTCCTCTATGAGAGCAGGTCATCTTTGTCAACTGAATATATAAGGGACACATGTGGAGTGGTGAAGGAGTAAGGAGACACCCACCTGGCAAGCAAGATCAGCCTGATCAATCCTGGTGAACCATGTACCCATGGGAACCAGGGACCCACATTGTAGCCAGATGGTCCTCACATCCCAGAGCAGTGCTGATGACAGGGAGCCCACACTGCAGGGCCCATGCACAACCTCCAGTTCTGCTACCAAGATTTCTGTATTAGGAGCCCATGGTTTAGGCTCTAGGGTGCCATGAAGGAAGCTCGCTGACATCTACTGTCCAAATTGTCCAGTTGGATTGGTCTTTTGGTACCTTTTCTATAATGGATCTTCTTAGATGGGCACTAAAGCATAATTCAAAGATCTTTGCCTTTGGAGCTCATGACCATAGGTCCATGTGCTTCTACCCCAGGTCAGGTCATGTTGTAATGCCCATCCTAGTCTCTATTCTGGAAAGGGTTTGGAAGGGAGATACGGAGAACATGAGGAAGAGCAAACATTGTCTTACATGCTTCATCTGCAGGTTCTGTACAGTCCTGGGGGGATAGGAGAGGGTCTCTCTCTTAATAAGGGGGAGTAGGTCATCGCTTTATCCAGGGGATAAAGGGTATGGACCTAGAATTCTCATTTCAATGCTTAGGGTCCTTTTTACGTATCATGACCTGACTTTGTCTCCTCATCTACTGGCTAGGATCCCAAAATGACCAAGTGACAGATTTGCCTTGCCTGAAAATGTATCCTTTTCTTAAATTCTGCCATTGGCTCTTCAGCTCAGTCTGGCTGGAGATGAGGAGCTGAACATTGGCAAGGAGGCCCTCTGATTCTCACAATGGGCTTTAAATTGGTGACTAATGTGGGTCTGTCCCTTTATCTTCAGTGCCTCAGTGTTACTTAGCAGCAGACTCCTAATTCTACCATCCTCTCCAAAGACCTAGCACCAGCTGGCGTGTCACTGCCCACCTATATCTGATCCCAGCTCACCACAGGTGAAGGTCCAGGCAATTGAACCACAGCAGTTCAGGGATCAGGACTCTCAATACTCTGTTAACACCACTGATGGGGTCCTTACTACTAATTGCCAGCAGGTGACCCAATACCAGAGTCCCATTGTTTCTTGGATTTCTCTTGTACTGTCTTAGGTCAGGAAGCAGATTGTGCAAGTGTGTTATTGAGGAAGGGCTTTCAGATGAAACCTGTAAGACAGTGAGGGCAGAAAACAGGGCGGGGAAGAAGTAAGCATAGAAGTGGGTTTGGCTGAAGTCTAGCATCAGCCCGATCCCCTAGGAAATGCTAGAGCACACATGGGACCACAAGGGTGTTATCTTGGTACAGAGGGTTGGCTTTTGTACCCTGAACTAGTAACCCATTTGTGGGCCACAAGCTACCCTTGGGGGAGGATGTAGCCTCACAGGCATTTCCTGGCTAGACAGCTCTCGTCAGCTGAGGGCAGTTCTTAGAAGGGCACAATTGTGAGATATCATCAGCTAACCTCAAAGCAATTGGGAAGTAAATGGATGTACCAGCCTGATAAAGAGGAGCTGGGCAGGTTTCAACACTGTCTAATACAATAATGTGCATGTGGTCTATATGAAGAAAGTCTTTATGAAGGCTCCTATTTTTTTTTAAGCAGAAAAAATTTCATAAGAAAATGTGGAGGAAGGTTCAGAGATTTTCCATAAGGCCCCTGCCCCTACACACGCCTAGCCTCCTCACCATCACCATCATTACCAGAGGGGTGAAGCTGATGGACACTCGTACTCATCCAAAGTCCATTGCTTACGTCAGGGTTTGCTCTTGGTGATGCACACTCTATGGGTTTGGACAAATGATATGTATCCACCATTACAGTATCACACCAGAATATTTTCAGTGTCCTAAAAATCCCCACTCTGTATACTCATCCTTCTCTTCCACACTAACTCCTGACAACAAATGATCCCTTTACCATCTCCAGATAATAAAAAATTTGAATTTTCTAAAATGTCATAAAGCTGGGATCATATGAATTATAGATTTCTCAGACCTGGCCTTTTGCACTGAATAGTATGCATTTAGGGTTTTTTTTAAATGTCTCTTCTTGGCTTGAGGGCTCATTTCTTTAGTGCTGAATAATATTCCATTGACTGGATATACCAGTTTATCTGTTTACCCATTGAAGGATATCTTGGTTGCTTCCAGGGTTGGCAAAATGTGAATAAAAGCATGTAGAAATATTTGTGTGCAGGTTTTTGTAGAGACATACGTTTTCAACTCCCCTGGGAAAATACTGAGCATGCATGCTGAATTGTATGGAAAGAATATATTCTGTTTTGTGAGAAATTATTAAACTGCCTTCCAAAGTAACTAAGCCATTTTGCATTCCCACCAGCAATGAATGAGAGTTCCTGTTGCTCCACAGCCTCACCCGCATGTAGTGTTTTCGTGTTTTAGGCTACTTTTCACAACCCAACTGAATTATTAGTATATTTTTTGATTTTATGGTGTCAGCCAATCTTCTCAAGAGCTGACTGGTTTTCATGAGCCTAATTAGTGAAAGGTCATCTCAGCTTATATCAACACATTTGTCATTCTATGGCCACCTTTTTGTCCCCTGAAACCAGGCAGCCTTCCTATTATTGAAAGTTGTGTATGCCTGAGTGTGCACAGATATACATGAACATGTACAGACACAGTTCAAATCAAGTGCACACTAAAAGTCATCCTTTCTTTCTTCTGCTCACACCATGCCTTTTGGGCATAATGACCTTAAGTTAGTGGAGAGAGAGAGAGAGGAAAGGAAGGAAGGCACTTGGATAATCCTCATCCTTATGATCTGGGTAAAAGAGGAATTATAAATCTATATGTTAGTTCATATCTCCTGGTGATCATATTTGGACATCTTTGTTATTGTTGACCCTTCTATCCTCAAACAGATCAGCTCATAAAGATCTTTTTGTGAAAACACCTCATGAGCATGACATACATTATGACCTGGCTAGCTTTCATAGGTTCAGTGTTTTAAAGTCCCAGTAATCTGAAAAGTCACCTATTAAATCAACAACCTAATAGGTTGAGAACTGAAGTGCCAACATATTTTGTTGGTCTGTTGGGCCCCAGATGAAACAGGAGCCCAACACCAGGCATCCTACCTTACATTGAGTTTTTCAAAGCAAGAGGAAACTGGAATGTGATGCCCTCTAACCACCATAGTAAATATGAGACAGTGTTAGAAGATACGACCAGTTACTTAGGAGATATAAATTCAGTTTTATTTTCCTTCAAAAAAAAAAAAAAAGCTTTTCACAAGCCAACCTGAAATTTCCACAGGAAAATAAAACAAAAACCTCCAACCTCCCAGAGCTCCTGCCACCTCCCATGGAAGACTAGGCCTAACGAAAGATTTATACACCATATTCTAGAACCAAGATTTTTCTCAATCCTTATTTTCCCGGTTTGTCCTTAGAAGAAAACAGGTCGCTTTTCATTTTCTAAATATAAAATTTTATAGCACAAACACACCCTAGTTGACAATTACTGCCTTATTAAATGGCATTACTATTAATATTTGTTGACCAAGTCTGAACATCTGATTTCTCCATGACGTGGACTTCTTCCTGTTTAATTTGCTACTCATGCTCATTAACATCCAAGAGTCCAGAAGCTTAAAGAAGAAACTTATTCAGTCTTGGCCTGGGGTAGATGGGAGTGGAAATGGGGTTCTGGGTCTGGGCTTGTTTAATGACTTTTGTACTTTCTAAGTGCTCAATAAGTGCATTTTGAACTAATACTTCTTCTAGCAGCCATTGTAAAATAAAGTATGTGCCTCAAGACATACTTTGTATTGCACCAAGTTAATCACAAATGGTCTGCTATGGGCTAAATGTTCATGCTCCAACCCATTCACATGTTGAAGCCCTAATGCCTCATGTGGTGGTATTTGGAGATGGGACCTTTGGAGGTGAGAGGACCTAATGAGGTCAGGAGGGCAGGGCCTTGGTCATATGGGATCAGTGCCCTTAGAAGAGACACCAGAGAGCTGCTTCTTTGCCCTGACCCACTGAACGTGGAGGTCACATGAGCACACAGTGAGGAGAGAGCCCTCTGCCATCCAGGAAGGGGACCCCCAACTAGCACCAAGCATTCTGTTACCTAATTTCAGACTTCCAGCCTCTGGAACTGTGAAAAGGAAGTTTCTGTTCTTTAAGCCACTTGGTCTGTGGCATTTTGTTTCTGGCAACCTGAGCTGATGGAGACATAGTCCAAAAGCCCAAACTTTAAATATTAAATTCCCAAGGTTTTCACTATGGGCAGTGACAGGAAGCATAAAGCAGAAGATTATTTTTTTTTAAATGATTATCTTTAGTTTAAATAGTTAGGAAAAGATAAGATGATAAAATAACATATTCAAAGCCCCATGAACCCATAACCTACAGTGATGTCCTTAAAATAGGAAATATAAAAATGACTATACACCTGCTTATTTATTTAATTTTCGTCCTGCACCCAATTCTGCCTGTAGGAAATTGATGTACAAAGTGCTTAGAGGTAATATCCTATGGGAAAGTACCTGGATCAAGAGCTCTGAATCTTTCCACAGAGAGTTTTGGGAAGCAGCAAAATTCAAAATTCAAAATTCCTGGAGAGAGCGAGAAGTAAAGTGCCTCCACACATCTTGCTTCTAAAGAACAGACCTTCTGGCACTGCTCTTACCTGCAACAACTACTCCTTCACAGAGCAGCTCCTCTAGAGAGGAGTCACCTCTCGATGTGAGACTTCTGGCCTAATTAGAATACCACAAATGAACAGCAGGAAATTGATTTTATGCCACATAAAGGGTATAGATGCTGTTCTTTCTCCTCCCTCTTACTTCTAAGGGAGGACCGGGACTCGGGTGTCTTCCCCAGTGGCTCAGTAGCAGTGTCACCCTGCTTCTGTGCTTTGCTCTCCATTGGGTCCTACCTTTCATTCCATGAGTGCTGGAGACTGGCTCTTCCTTGCTAGTTGTAGCTCTATCTGTGTTTTCAGTCCCAGGAACACATTCCACTCCATTGCCTTTGCTTTAGAGAAATACAGAGGAGCACTGAATCATGGGAGAGAACAGCACTTGCATTCCTCCTTCTACCAGCCAGAGCAGCATTGGCTTGTACTAGGTTATCCCTGGTCTTAAGTCTCTAGGTGCAACTTCTCTCTCTTCCTTTACCTGTGATCTAAGATCTGCCCCAACTCTATGGTAACATCCAACAATGGAAAAGGGAACGTTCAAAGGACACCTCTTGTTGGATAATAAAGTTAACCTCTAACTGTCTGCAAAACTTTTTTTTGGGGGGGAGGGTGGGTGGGTGGGTACCAAGGATTGAACCCAGGAGCACTTAATCACTGAGCCACAGTCCCAGCACTTTTTTGTATTTATTTATTTATTTTTTTAGAGACAGGATCTCACTGAGTTGCTTAGGACCTTGCAAAGTTGTTGAGGTTAGATTTGAACTCACAATACTCTTTTTTGGGGGGCTGGGAGAGGTACTGGGGATTGAACTCAGGGGCACTTGACCACTGAGCCATATCTCCACCCTATTTTGTATTGTATTTAGAGACAGGGTCTCACTGAGTTGCTTAGTGCCTCACTTTTGCTGAGGCTGGCTTTAAACTCATGATCCTCCTGCTTCAGCCTCCTAAACCACTGGGATTATAGGTGTGTGCCTTTGCGCCCTACATGGCTGCAAATCTTAAAGGTGGGGAGGTAAAGAGGAGAAATCCCCTTCTGGATTCCCAAAGACTGTTTCACTAGCTCACTGCAGTTCCCTCCTCTCCTGATTATTGGCCTGAAATGCAAACTGTTGTACCAAGTCTTTTGGATTAGATTAGATCTAACACCTACTAGACACAGGAGGTCCAAGTAAATGAGATGTGCCTGAGCTAAACCTTGGCACTGCCCCTCCCCACAACTTTGTTTACAGAGTAGTTTGCAAGCTTCACTTGATGCTTCAATGAGTTCTTTCATTCACTAAACATCTACTGAGCACCTATACAAGTGACAGGACCTTGTATATGAGGCCCAAGGGAAGCTAAAACTAACAAGACAACCTCCATGCCCTAGAGAAATTTATGGTCTAGTAGAGAGAAAAACACATCATAAAATAATAAAACGGTCCACTACATGTGTAATTAGAGAGTACTTCATAATATCGTGTGTGCAAAGAGCAGGGAGAGAAACTCTGCTGGTTTCTAGAGCCTTCACTGACTCCCACCTCTTTGGGCAGCTCCATTAGGAGCAGGATAAATGAGCCTAAAAAATTTAAGTGGGATCCTGTATCAAAACTGGATCACAGACTAAGGTTTATTCAGGAAACACATAGTGGGTTCCTCCTTCATGCCTTGGCCAGGGAGAGGAATTACAGAGAAAGTTTACCTCCTGAAGGGAGTGTAAGTGCATCCTCCTGCAGACTAGAGGGAATGAGAGGACAGTGGTGACCAGAAGAGCTCTTAGTGGAGAGAGGGAAGCTGTAGGAATTAACGTGAGAGGATACTGGTATCCACTCAGCAAAGAAGGACAGGCAGGCACATGAAAATAGGAGTAGAATTGGAAGTTCTCATTTGAATATTAAAAACAAACAAACAAATAGATGCAGCAGCAATTAAAGGAGGTTTCAAAGTGGCAGGTATCACTTTAATTGATGGCCCAGTGAGTCAGCACTGGAAAAGCTGCCTTTATCTGGCAGTGGGGTCAGGGAACTGAAATTTTTTTTTTTTTTTTAAGATTGGAAATTATTCATAGCACGTTCAATGTTAAAAATTCTATAAGAAGAATCATGCAAAATCAATATGAATTGTCCATAGCATTTAACATTTCTTTAAAAAAATTTTTTTAGATGTTGATAGACCTTTATTTTTTTTCATTTATTTATATGCAGTGCTGAGAATCAAACCCAGTGCCTCACACATGCTAGGCATGTGTTCTACCACTGAGCCACAACCCCAGCCCCTTGACATTTCTTAAAAAAACAAAACAAAATAAAACAAACAAATAACAACAACAACAAACAAACAAAAAAACCCCACTACTCACCCAGTGGTTGCTTCAAACTGTAGATTCCCTTGGCCTGAAACAAAGCAAAACAACACTCTCAAATTTAAGCTACTTTGAATGGATTGTATATATTGATTTTTCATACACGTATACATAGAATACTATAAAATATATCAAAGTGTATAGAGCTTTTTAAAAAATTTTTTTAGTTGTAGATAGACACAATATCTTTATTTTTATTTACTTATTTTTATGTGGTGCTGGGGATCGAACCCAGGGTCTCACGCGTGAGAGGCAAGCGCTCTGCCACTGAGCTACAACCCCAGCCCGTGTATAAATCTTAATCTTATTTTCCTACTTATTCAGAAACAGTTTCTGGCTTGCCTGTCCCTGGTAGCCATTGTTTCTCCCACCCATCCTGCTGGGTTCCCTTTGTGCATGGACTCTGGGTCCATCCATATTTCAACAATTAGCTCCCTTAGTACTGAATTAAGAACTAAACAGTGTGCCTGTGAAGTACTTATTTTTTCCACTTGAACCCAAAGTATATGACCAGGTGAGGGGTAGATCACAAACCTCTGGACAGTAATAAGAATCACATTCTTTATTTGGATGTCATCCTAGGTGTAATAAAAATAACACATCTCAACTCGAGTGGCTTCCCCACCTGCCTGCCCCTTTGTTGCCTACAACAGCCTAAAATCTGAACTCTTCCGCCTGATATATGAGGCTTACTCTCTCATCTCAATGGCATTTCTTCCAACTCTACCCATGACCTCTCAAGCCAGGATTCAAATCACCATTGCATATGTTCTCCCTTGGAGGCAGCTCTGTGGTCTTCGAAGGACTCCAGAGGCATCTTTTATTATCCAAGTGACCAGAACATGTTGCCCAGTGACTAGGATGGAACTGTGGACTTGGTTTCTACCTTGCCTTGTATCCCACCTAAGTGCTGCTATCATAAAGCTGCCTGCCCCGTGGGCTTTCCCCACAGCCCCCTAGACCATCCCATCATGCCACATACAAAGATGTCCCAAACCACAGGGCCCATCTCCCTCCTTGACCTCTCCCCATGCATTTGTTAAACATTCCTCTTCCCTGACCAAACTCTGACTCCATAACATCCTTTGGATACAATGCCCTCTGCTGCTAGGCTGTCTCCAATCCCTCCCTGGCTCCCAGTGTCCTTCTCACCCATAACCCCAGGTATCTTATGCCTTGCTCATTGCATAAAATTATTAGGCCCAAGAATCCCTAAGGATGAAAGGTGCTATAGGGTGATAATGGTTCTATGTCAGATCTTTGTGAAGTGCTAGACATATACAAGGGGCCGATGTTCTTGACATTCCTTAACTTGGAACTTGCATACCACCCTCCCCCACTGCCTGGGTGCCCCTGAGTCTCTATTCTGCCCCTGAGAGTCTCATCTCCTCACAGGGTCCAGCTCAAGGCTCTGCCTCCCACTCACTGTGGGCCTTTCCGAGTTCTTAGAGCCCTTGTGAAATGTCACTGGTAAAATTGACCCTCAGTTTGCATATCTGTGAAAAAAGGGACTGGGACAACTGTGGGGCTTTCAGGGTTTTTTTTTTTTTTCTTTTTTTTCTTTCTTTTCTTTTAATGGAAACTACATGCTGGTTCTGGTTGGCTTATTATCTGGATTTTACCTTCCTGTCATAACCTAGAGAGCATGGTGCCAGGCCTTGAGGAGGGTCTGGGAAATGTGTGTCTGAATTTTAGCTGAATAAATACATTTTTACCTTCCAAACAAATGTGTCTTTTTTACTATAGGCCAGGGCTAATCAGGGGAGATTCAGTTAAGATTTAAATTGTAGATTTTGCTCAATATTGTGGAAAAAGTCAATTGATCTATAGATCACTAAAGTGATCCCAATCAAATCTCAGCAAGTTTTTTTCCCCCCAGAAATTGACAAGCTCATTCTAAAATATACAGTTGACTCTCTGTATCTGTATCTCTTCCCTCCATGGACTCAACCAACTGTAAACAGAAGATATTTGGAAAAATATTGCATCTGTAATGAACATGCACAGAATTTTAAAAAATCTTATTCCTTAAACAATAGAGTGCAACAACTACTTATGTAGCATTTACATTGTATCAGGTATTATAATTAATCTAGAGATGAATAAAGTACAGAAGAAAATGTGCACAGGGCTAGGGGTATAGCATCTGGAAAGCCCTGGATCTGATCCCCAGCATTGGAAAAAAGGGAGAAAAACAGATGTGTATAGATTATGTGCAGATACTATTCCATTTTACATAAGGAATTTGAGCATATATACAGAACCAATACCCCATGGATCCCAAGGGACAACTGTATATGAAAATGTAAAGAACATAGAATAACCAAAACAACTTCAAAAGGAAGAACAAAGTTGGAAGACTCAAATTATCTGATTTTAAGACTTATTATGAAGCCATAGTAATTGAGATAATGAGGAAGTTAATGTCAAGATGGACAAATAGATCAAAGGAAAAGAATAGAACATCCAGAAACAGATGCACTTATATAAATAGTCTCACTTCTATAAATAGTCAGTTGGAGAAAGAAGAGTCTTTTAAACAAATTTCATAGACCAACTAGATATCAATATGGAAATATATCAACAGATATCAATATATCAAACACCTGAACTTTGATCCATATCTCACATAATACACAAAACAAAAACAAAAACAACAACAATAAAAATCACTTAAAGTGGATCTTTGCCATCTGTATATCTTCTTTAGTGATGTGTCAGTTCAAATATTTTGTTTATTGTTCTCTCATTGGGTTTTGAGAGCTTTGTATACCTCTTAGATACAAGTCTTTAATTACATATTCTGCAAATATTTTCTTTCAGCCAGGCACAGGATGGTGCATGCCTGTAATCCCAGCAACTCGGGAGGCTGTGGAAGGAGGATCACGAGTTCAGAGCCAGTCTCAGCAAAAGTGAGGTGCTAAGCAACTCAATGAGACCCTGTCTCTAAATAAAATACAAAATAGGGCTGGGGATGTGGCTCAGTGGTTGAGTGCCCCCTGAGTTCAATCTCCAGTACCAAAAAAAAAATCTTTTTTCTTTCAGTGTGTAGTTTATCTTTTCATGTTTTTAAAATTAAATTTGAACAGCAGATGATTTTAATTTTGATGAAATCCAATTTTTAAAAATTTTATGGATTGTAAAAGAAAATCAGTAGTAGTGACCTAATTTTGTGACAGCTCCATTTTTTTTTTTTGTGGGGGAACCCTTTATGAAATTGCTGACATGCCAAAAAGAAGTTATTTGATGAGAAGAAACATCTCAAGGACTGTGCATCCTATACTCTTTCCTAGAATGTATGGTCTGCAATGATCTTTACTAGACCAATGAGCTATAGAAGTAAATTTATCCTCCAATTGTAATTCTTTTTATTTTTAATTTTTTTTAGTTGTAGATGGACACAATATCTTTATTTTATTTATTTATTTTTATGTGGTGCTGAGGATCGAACCCAGTGCCTCACATGAGCAAGTCAAACACTCTGCCACTGAACTACAATCCCAGCCCTCCAATTGTAATTCTTGGTAAAAACCCTACATAACTCATGTAAACCTCCCCCCACTTTTTTTAACCCTTAAAAATACTACCTGGGTTCAATCCCCAGTACAAAAACCAAACTAAACCAACCAACCAACCAAACAAACAAAAACCTCTCTAAACCTTTTCCTAATGGGATACATGGACACATTCTGGTTTCTGGTGAAGTCTGTTCCCTCAGTCATAATTCTAAGATCCCAAATAAATGCCTTTTTGCCTAACAGATCTTCTGAGCCTCTTTAGATGACATGGTTTTAGTATCTTATCTAGTCATCTAAAGACCATGTACATTTTGTCCTGTATCTACTTCTAAATGTTTTATGTTTTATAGTTTAAATTTTGCATTTAGGTCTTTGATCTGAGGACTATCAATTTTTTTTTATTATGTCAATATATCTGAATAAAGATGTTTAAAAATTGTGGTATAGGGTTCCTGTCTAGAAATTTTAATAAGCTAAAATATGCATCCCAAGGCACTAACCCTAGCTATTCCAACTCCATAGTTCTGGGGTGGGACCTTAAAACCTGTATTCAAGTCCTTTAAGTCATTCTTAGGCAGGTGGTCCCTAAACTCCACTTTGAGAAACGCTGATCTAAGAAGTAAGTATTTCTAGAACAATCTTGTAATGAGAATGCTGTTCCTGTGAGAAACCAAGTTACTTTTTCCTACCTTTCTGTTTTAGCCTTAAGGGCACTCAGACTTAATTACCACATTCAATGTAGTATTAATAGCTGAAAAGCAAAAGTAATCATAGTTTCTAGGCAAATTAAAACCAACTATACAATCTTATCTATCCTGGTAGAGTCCTAGAGTTTAAATCAAGAACTTTTGTTAATTTCTTGTGACAAGAAACAGAAGTAGTAGTTTTCCAGTCCTACTTCTCAATGTATCTTTTTCCACATCTAACCATATGGAAAACCCCTCTGAGCATATTCTCCACACCTGCCCTCCCGTCCTCCCACTAGATGATGATCAGAGGAGACACAGAAAGAGTGAGAAATGGTTGCATTCTTGCCAAGTCTCTAAAGATAAAATTTATCTTTTCATTTTTATGCAATTTTCCTTACTTTATACAACTTTGTGTGTGTGTGTGTGTGTGTGTGTGCATGTGTGTTTCTCGTAAATCATTGCCAGAATAAATGACAGGGATAAAATTTTCACATAAGACTGACATTTCTCAACCCTAGCAATGTTACCTGACCAATTGGAACTTCATTGATGAAGGCTGGTGTGAATTTCCCCACCCCCTGCTGTTACGAAGAGGATTGAGGATCCTTTAAATGATACAAATGTGAAAGGGTAAAGATGACTTTCAATTATTATGAGTGACATTAGTGAAAATGGTGGAGAACAAAACTCTCAAAAGTTCTCTTTACCATGAAAGTGTGGGGTAAAGCTGGCAAAAATTGTCAGTAACAATTTTTTTTTCCCCAGAAAACTGGAAATTAAAGGTTTGCAGTGAAATCTGGAGATCATTTGTTCAAAATGAACCTCAGTCTGAGCAGTGAGATTTGTGGTGTCTTAACTCACCCTGAACCTAACTTCCCCTTCCTTCTTAGGGTAGCCTTGGAAAACAACAGTCTACAATGATGGTGAAGAATAGCACACAAAAATTAGATCAGGGGCTGAGGTTGTGGCCCAGTAGTAGAGCACTTGCCTAGCACAGGTGAGGCACTGGGTTTGATCCTCAGCACCACATAAAGATAGATAAATAAAGGTATTGTGTCCATCTACAACTAAAGAATTTAAAAAAATTAGCTCAAAATGGATCAAAGACCTAAATGCAAGAGATAAAGCTATAAATTTTTAGAAGACATCTTAGGTATAAACCTTCATTACCTTGGATTAGGCAATGGTTTTTTAAATATCCAAAATATAAGCAACCAAAGGAAAAAAACCAGACAAATTGAATTTCATCAAAGTAAAAAAAAAATTTGTGCTTCAAAGGACACTCCCAAGAAAGTGAAAACAAATGCTCAAATGCAAAATGTTATTTGACAGGAGTTCTGGTATCCAACTAGCACTACAACTCAACCATAAAAAGAAGCCAAACCAATGTGATCCTGCAATCTGTACACGTGGAAAAACAAAATTACATACCCCATTTGAATCAAATATATGATATGTCAAGATCATTGTAATGTTTTGAGCAATAAAAAAATAAAAAAAAATTGGCAAAGGAGCTGGGCACTGTGGCACACACACCTGTGATCCCAGAGGCTTGGGAGGCTGAGGTAGGAAGATCATGAGTTCAAAGCCAGCCTCAGCAAAATCGAGGTGCTAAGCAACTCAGTGAGACTCTGTCTCTATAAAATATAAAATAGGGCTGGCTCAGTGGTTAAGTGCTCCTGAGTTCAATCCCAGGTACCAAAAAAAAAAAAAAAAGAAGGGCAAAGGACATAGATTTTTCTTCAAAGAAAATATACCTAAGGCCAATAAGCACATTAAAAGATGCTTGACATCACTAGTTATAGGGAAATGCAAATCAAATCACAATGAGCTATCATTTCAAACCCACTGGGATGGCAATAATAATAATAATTTTTTAAAAATAGACATAATATCTTTTTACTTCATTTATTTATTTTTATGTGGTACTAAGGATCAAACCCAGTGCCTCACATGTGAGAGGCAAGCACTCTACCGCTGAGCTATAAACCCCTTCGGCAATAATTATTAATAATAATAATTATGGATAATAACGAGCATTGGAACCTTTATTTATTGCTGGTGTGAATCTGAAATGGTGCTACTGCCTTGGAAAACGATTTGGAAGCTCCTCAGAAAGTTAACTAGAATGAACATAGGATCTAGCAATTCCACTTCAATATCCAAGAAACTTAGAAATAAGGACTCACATTTTTTAAAAAAAACTTACATGAAAATATGTAGCACCACTATTTACAAAAACCACAAAGTGTAAATAACCCAAATGTTCATCACCTGATGAATGGATAAACAAATATGATTGCTATAATTTGAATGTGTCCCGTGTTGGAAACTTGATCACCAGTGGAAGGTGGGTCCTAATAGGAGATATTTGGGTCATAGGGGCACTAATCTCATGAGTGGGTTCATACAATTATTGTGGGGTGGTTTTGTTATCACAAGAGTGGACCCTTATAAAAGGACAAGTTTTCCTTCCTTCCATGTACACACATGTGCATGTGTGTGTGTACACATGAGCGCTCTCTCCCTTCTTTCCCTCCTCTCTCTTCAGATTCCAGCCCCTTGATCCTGGACTTCCCAATCTCCAGAGCTGTGAGCCAATAGATTTCTGCTAATTATGAATGACCCAGTCTATTCTATTCTGTTATAGCAGCAAAACATGAACTAACAATGGTACATCCATGTACTGGAGTATAATTTAGCCATAAGAAGGAAGTAAGTACTGATATATGCTACAATGTGGATAAAACCTGAAAAAATATGCTAAGTGAAAGCATCTTGACAGGAAGAGTTACTTTTTTATAGTATCTAGAGTAAGAAAATCAAATAGAAAGTAGATTAGTGTTTGCCAGCAGCTGGAGGGGGAGAAGATGGGGAATGACTGGTAATAGATACAGGATTTTTTTAGTGAGGTGTTATAAAAATGTTCCAGTTTAGAATTAAAATTAGAGTGGGGATGATTAGACAACCTTGTACAATTGTGAATAGGCTAAAGCACTGGAATTGTATGCTTTAATAGGAGAGCAAATTTTATGATATGTGAATTTTATCTCAACTTTGGAAAAAAGGTAGTACAGTTTCTGAAAGGCAATGTTGGATATTTGAATCCCTGTTCCTATTTTCTCAAGTGGCTTTTAGGAGAGTCGACTTTAGCAATTAGGTGTGTGTACGAACATAACTAAAAGGGACACTTCAGTGCAACCACACACACTGTGCCCCTCCCCCAAACCCAGTCAATTTAAAGCAAGCACAGGCATGAACATGTGACCACAGTTAATTTTCTGACAAAACATTCTTTGACAACATCCCCAGTCTGCACCCATTGCAATCAGAATAATGCTCCAGACTGAAGTCAGCAGAGATAACCTACCTTTAATATTGTTTTGTTGTTCCATCAATAATTTACTTATTTCTGAAAACCAACAATCTCTGATTTCTTTTGAGGTTGCCTGCAATTACAGGTAAGAAAATGCTATGAGTATCAGATCACCCTGAGTATTAAGCACAGGGCTTTTGTTCTCTACGTGATCTTTAGAGTAAGGAGACAGAAGATCCCTCGTCGAATTACGGAAACACAAGAGGGAAAGAGCAAAGGAAAACCAAGAACGAGGTATGGGCTTTACCTGCAGGATGTATTTCTCAAGTCCATTTCGGTTGGCAATTTCAAACTTTTTATGGCTCCCCCTTCCAAGTGGGCGAATTGAAAGTGTCACCAACTATTGTAAAGAAAGAAGTGTTCTGTATCAGCATTTTTTTTTGACATTTAAATTGTCAGTCTTGCCCCTCTAATTTTTTTCTACCCTTAACATGTCTCTTTTATCTTCCTTCCAAGTGTTTTTTGCTTTCCTCTGTGCATGTCCCCAAGGCAGCATAAAACAGAGTGTGGTACAGTATCCCCTGTTCTGTTCGTTTCAGAGACTATGCTTTCCCTGAGGAGGGCTGTAGCACTCGACCTTTGAGTGAAGAAATCACCTCTTCTGTAATACCTACTTCACAAATCTCTATTTAATGGTAACTGAGTGAGTATCCATTAAGAAATATAAATAAAGAAAACTACATGAATTGATAGCTTTAATTAATCACAAGATATAAGTGAGTGTGTGTGTATGTCTCTGTGTGTGTCTGTCTCATAGCTAGCAGGCTATAAAACATTTCCTATTCAGGTGAGAGACAAGACTTGATGTAGATAGGGGGTTTATAGACCCTCACGGCCAGAGTGAGGATGCTGTCTGCATTTATATACAAAAATATAACATTGAGAAGATTAACATGAGACCCAGCTTGTGCTTTAATCACCAAATTGTTTCCTCTCTGCCCAGAGGAAAGATTCCTCTTTACTTTTACTGATTAGTTTTTCCAGACAAGCCACAGAAAGGTCCCTTTTGTCTTATCTAGTATGCAGCCACCCCTATGCCTCCCCCAGCCCTGTCTAGGGACTGACGACAAGCCCTGAGTCTAGAGTCTGGCAGGCCTGGGTATGGATTCCAGCTCGGCTGTGAAGCATTTGGCAAGTTAACTTCCCCTCTCAAAGCTTCAGTTTCCTCTTCTGTAAAATAAGGGGAAACCATCTCTCTCTTCTCAGTCCCCAGATGGTGGTGACTCCAGGTATATTAGGATCCCCTTTACCTTCATCCACTTCTTAAAGCTGTAATGAGGAGATGGCCCCTGGTCACCAGGCTCCATTCGAATCTTACAGAACACTATTCCTCTTTCGAATAGATAGATTTGCCTCTGGCTGGGTTTAAATCTAATAAAATCCTTCATTTTATAACGATCCTTGTGAATTGTCCAGACATTGAAAGGGCCATGCATCAACAGCTTGCCCAGTTTCCCGATATCATCCTTTTGAAAACGAACACACCAAGAAAGAAAGAAAAGAAGCCATTAAAGTACTTGGCAGGTACACAATGCTTAGGGATTGGTTTTCAAATTATAAAGCATACTGATTTGAAGTTTACAATTCTAGAAATGCCACTTGGGAAAACCCGTCACTAAGTCAAAACTATAACTTCAAGGGCTTTGCTGATCATGGTGTCATTTTGTCATGTAAGGAAGTAAGTTCAGCTATGCAAGGCTCATACATAAAGGATGTTAGGAATCCTGGAACTAAAGATATTGCCGCTCTGATACTCCTATCTTATAATTCACCTTAGTTAGCAGAATTCTGATTTATCTTCTTCATGTTTGATACATGACAATCTACTTAAAAGGGACAAGAGAGAGAGAGAATTCTTGTTGCATATGGACCTGAGATGGTGGGTGTTCTACCTGCATCCTAACATCTGCTTCAGGGAACAGAAGGTTTGTTCTGAAAGGAGAGAACATAGCACAGCCTCTCCTTCATAGCATTGCAATAGGAATAGTAATTACATTTTACTTTGTGCTTTTCAGAGTGAGGAACAATGACAAAATAATCCCAAATGACACATTTTTTTTTTTTTTAACAAAGCCTGTTTGGCTCCAGGGCACCCACCACGGCTGCCTCTCCTTCCCCAGGGAGCCTGCCTTTCCCATGTGTCTGCTGAAAGTCCACATGAGATAGCGCTGTCCTCTCTCAGCTCACTTCCAGGGGAGTGGGAAGAACTAAAGACTGGTTTTCTAGTATTTTTAAAAAATTAAGTCACTTAAACCAGATAATCAAGAATTTATTTCTGTGAATCAAAAGGATTCTTTTCAGAAGGAAAAGAAATTATTTGAATGGGGCCATGACAAAGAAATTTCCCTTAATTATATCTAGCTGAGATAAAGCTCCACAGTTTTTGTTTTTGTTTTGGTACCAAGGATTGAACTCAGGGGCATTCGACCACTGAGCCACATCCCCAGTCTTATTTTGTTATTTATTTATGTATTTTTGTGATGCTGGGGATTGAACCCAGGGCCTTGTGCAGGCGAGGCAAACTACCAACTGAGCTATATCCCCAGATCCCTTATTTTGTATATTATTTAGAGACAGGGTCTCACTGAGTTGCTTAGCCCCTTGCTGTTGCTGAACTTTGAATTCGTGATCCTCCTGCCTTAACCTTCAGAGACACTGGGAACCTCCACAATTTTTGAGAGTTAATAGTAGAAATATGTACTGTATTTAGAACCCATTGGGCATGTTTGTGATTTACTATTTATATAGCGAACAAATTGTGAATATCTTTTTAAAAAGCATTGGCTGTATTTTAAGAGCAATGCATTCTAGTCATTTCTATAGTGCTTGTGGCATATTTTCTGGGTTAATTTTCTCCTTTTGCTTTGTAAAGTTGACGAGTACAAACTGGGGCAAATGAAACCCTCACTGAGGAATGATGAGCCTCAGCTTTGGAACCTTCTTTCCCACAGGCACGAGCCTCCTGTCCTGTATTGCATGGGCTCCACTTGACCACATTCTGGGACACTTTGAAGAGTTTTTCACTCTGACTTCATCCTTCAGGGACTCACTCATGTGTAATCACCCCACTCCTCAGTGATTGCTTTCTCCTTTATAAGCACTCATTCTGTATTTGATAAAAGTATAAGTAGTGCAGAAAGCACATGTTAGAAGTGGGTATTTAATATTTGCCACATGAACAACTATTATTGATAGTTTCTATTTTTAAATGATCTTATTTCACAAATTTGATATACATTTCAAAAATACATACAACCTGACCATATGGTGCATAAAATCCATATGGTAAGGCCACGTAAACTCATAGTAGTTTTGGTTCTGACTTTCTAGTAGGCAGTAGAGAGGGAAAAGGGGTGAGTTATATGATTCATTATGTCCAAAGATGTACACACACCACCTGTTCAGAAAAAGCACAGCAATTCCTGTTAGTAATACATGTGAAAAATTCCTCTCACAGGATAAAGGGTTACTGGGTCACTGGACCAGGTTACATCCTCAACTACATCCCACAATAAATAGATGAATGTATTTTAGTCAATGCTGCTACTTAAAATACACATCAGTATTTAGAACACATTTGGTCAATGTGGAGGTATCACTTCATAGCGTAGCTATAAAAGCAATTCTAAAAGAAACCAGAGGATGGGGATGAAGAATAAGACCAGTTGTACACTTTCTAATGAATGACCTGTAGAAGCCTGGGCAAAGGCAGGTAGGTGTCCACCAAGGTCACCCATTGGCTGTTGTAGAGAAAGCCTTGACCTCAGCCCTGCTTAAGAGGTAACCTTAGGAAGCAATGTGTTTTTAGTACCAGGCACTGAACCCAGGGGTGCTTAACCACTGAGCCACATCCCCAGCCTTTTTTATATTTTATTTTGAGACAGGTTTTGCTAAATTGTCTAGGGCCTTGCTAAATTGCTGAGGCTGGCTTTGAACTTGCGATCCTCTTGTCTCAGTCTCCCAAATTGCTGGAATTATAGACATGTGCCCACATGCCTGGCTAGGCAGCAGTGTTTTTGTGTTTCATCACCTCTGAAATTTCTTTCTTAGCCTCCCTGCAGTCACAGCTACTTTCAGGTTCGTGAATCCAGAAAAGGGCCAACAGATGACACAGGGCCCTCGGTTGACCATAATAATCCCTCTAAACTAAAGAAAACTGAGGAGGAGGCAGTGACCAGCAGGAGTTGTAGCTGTGGACAAGCTGTGTGATTAATAAGAAGGGAGGAGAACTATGAAGAAAATGAGACAGAAGAAACTATGAGGAAGAGAAAAAGGTACTAATGGAGGAAAAGAACCAGTAATCAGTGGGTAAGAGGAGAGGACAGCAGGTATGGGCTGTACTGGGCACACAGAAGCAGGTACACTTGTGAGAACCTTGAATCCCTCCCTAGGCCAAGATCCCAGAGCTGCTATAGATCCTGGGTTCAGTTCCCCTCTCTGTGAGCCCAGCTATGCTACTGTCCTGACTCTACCTGCAGCTCTGTGAGTCAGCTTTTCTGATAAGCCTACCACCTAAATTCTCTGAAGGGAATCACCAGGTCTATCTAGACTGCCTGAACCTGATTGTGCATTTTTTGGGTCATCTTGCATAGATGTTCTCATGGGCCCATGAGAGGAGGGAACACCTCAGTGTTTGAGGCCCAATCTTCAGCAGGCAAAGCCACATACCCTGTAGGTACATGTTGGTGAAGAGCAGGCACCAATACTTCGTTGTTGGCAGGACACATGTCTGTGTCAAAGCCACCCAACTTCCAAAGGAAAGTGGTGGGGAGATTCCCCCGAGCAGGACTAAGCATGGCCCTTGGACAATTCTTTAATGAATAGCTTCTCTTCTTTCCAACCAGACTGTATTTGGTCTCAAGGCTTGAGATCACATGCACAACCATTTTCGGATACTTGTCCCCTAGTATTTGTTCATTTATTGGCATTTCATGGCATTTGAGGGCAAGGGACATAGAACTAAATACTCAATACTGTGAGAAAATATTGATTTATTCAAGAAGTTAATTCAGTAACGCCCCTGTACTTGGGTTGAATAGCTTCCTCCTGTTAACTGGAACCTCAGAAAGTAATCTTATCCAGAAAGAGGATCTTTGCAGATGTATTAACTAAGATGAGTTATACTGTATTAGGGTGGGGCCTACTCCAATGACTAATGTCCTTATAAAAAGAGCACAAATACAGAGATTCACAGCAGAGGGAAGACAGGCATGTGAACCTGGAGGCAGACGCTCGAGTAATGCTACTGTCAGCTCAGGAACTCTATGCATTGCCAGTGACAAGAAGAAGCCAGGAAGATTCTTCCCTGGAGCCTTCAGAGGGAACACAGCTCTGCTGAAACCTTGATTTTGGCTATCTAGACTTCACAACTGTGAGAGAATAAATTTCTGCTATTTTAAGTCGCTCTGTTTGTGGTACTTTGCTATAGCAGCCCTAGCAAACCAATATAGTCCCGACCATATTCTAACAGTGACAAAAAAGTGTGGCTGTGTCAAATGGTATGTTGTTGAAGAATCTGATGCTTATGCATTCAGAGAAGAGACCCAGGGGTTACCTTAAACAAACAAGCAAGTCAGTCTCCTCCATACAAAACACCAAGGCAAAATAAACTAGTAAACGCTATCATTTTCACATATGGGCATTTTGCAAGCAAGAGCTGTGATATAAGAATTTCAAATGTGACTACACGGGCCAACTGAAGAATCAACCCAAGAGAATGAGCCAAGTGACACTAGAAAGAGACTTCTTTTGGGTGCTCTTCATTCTTGGCAGTGTGAGCTAATGTGACCAGGTTCTACACTTCTGATGCAGAGAAGCAGGAACCATCTGGATAAGTGAATCATCACACTGCCTGGTTGAGAAATGAAAAGCAGAAACTGTGGGAGGAGTGATCACAACAGGCAGAGGCAAAGAGCTCTTTCAATCCCAGCCTGATAATTAGGCCCCAAGGAACTCAACAGGAGGGCCACTGAATCAGCAACTGCGGGGTGACAGGCAGGTGCCATGTGCCTCACCTGGGATGTAGGCCTCACTGACTCCTAACAGCCACGCTTTGACACAGGTCTTGAGGGTGGGAAGATGCTCAAGGCAATCTACTGAGTGCTGAGGTTGTCTACTCGGCCTCATCTCTGTACCAACATTAGAGTAAGGAAAGTAGAAACTGAAACAGAAATAAAACATCTGGCCCTAGCTCACAATGACCTTGTAATTAAAAATATGCCTTTTATTGAATTATGCACATTTGTTCTGGGAATGAAATTTTTTCATCAACCTTTATTTGTTCCTTGGAACTTGTTCCTGGCAAGTTGGGATTTACATGATCTTTATTACCCATTGGATAATAAACTTTTTTTTTTTTTTTGCAATTGGAGGGAAGTAGATTACAATTCAGCATCTATGAAACAAATCTGTTTTAAAAACTTGTTAAAACTTTTGTGACTTAATTAAACCAAAGACTAAATGAGTATGTACAACAGGGAAAAATGTAAATATTAGAAAGGATTTCTTTTCCTAGTTGTTTTAATTACAAATTGATCCACCAATATTCAATTTCCTTCCTTTTCAAATCCAGGTTAATATTGGGTTTAAAGTAGAAAAACAAAGAGGTTAAGCTCTGGATTTATCTATGTATACCACAGGTATTTATAAATACCATGACAAAAAGCTCTATAAAACTGAGCCAAAGGATCTTTGATCTGGTGATCTGAATTAGTAGTAGTTAAGATGTTATATCAATGCCAAGGAGAACCAGATAGAGGGTAGATGGTGCCCTGGATAGGATGTGAAAAAGAAATAGTCCCAGCTGATGCCCACGTACTCTTGGGTTAGTTAACTATTCATTCCATGGATTTGCTCTTGAATCAGAAAAAGTTAAAAATTCCTCCATAATTCAATAGGAGACTACAAAAACTGTCAGGATACATTTACTAATGTATTAGATATAATAGGAGATGAAGGTCTTAGGAAAGAAATTACAGAACATATGGCAAAGGTACAAAAACAGCCCTTTGAGTTTAGTGTGAAATCTCTAAAATTTTATAAACTGATTCATTTTATTTGCATACAAGCTGGCTTGGGATGAAATTAGGGCAGATTGCTATTTCCTTATATTTTAATCATTTTTCCCCAAAACTGCCCCCCCATGTTATTTACACTCAGATGTTATTTACACTTCTTGATGTGTATTGTTTCTAGGAAATTTATTTATTGGATTCAGGGAAATAGATACCTAATAGAAGTAGCAAACACATGATTCAAGATTTAAAAAAAAGAACAGAAAGATGTGCCGAAATGATTATGCAAATTGTTCCTTTGATGCTCCTTAGTTGAAGAAAGAAAAATTAATACCAAGAAAATGATCCCCTCTCACACACACCTTAATGTCACCCTGTAGTTCATGAATACCCTCCTGAATCATGCATCAGTTGTAAGCAGAGAGGACGTTGGTGTTCCAGAGGACAGAATAGCATCATGTCCAGGATCACAGCAAACCCAGTAGGGCAAAGTTTTTTAGACGCTGTCCAAAGAAACACCATGAGGAAGGGAAGTTAAAGAATCATTTTTTTCCCTCTGATTAGTTTGCAAGGTTTGATGTATGACAAGGACAGGAAAAAAAGATCATTGACTCTTCTGAGATTTCAATAAACAGTGTAGTAAGAACCAGGAGAGAGAGACAGAGAGAGAGAGAGAGAGAGAGAGAGAGAGAGAGAGAGAGAGAGAGAGAAAGTAAGTATCTGTCTGAAATGTAATTCTCAGAATGCTGAATACTGTTTGGTGAGCAGAATAATGGCTTCCCAGAGATGTCCACATCCTAATCCCCAGAATCAGCACCTCCCACCTTGGGAATACTGTGCCCACCTTTGATGTGAAATCTTCCAACATTTGCTATGGAACGTACCGGACATCCAGAGACTGCTGCTAGGTCCACCGCCAACTCACAGGACTTGATCAAATCCTCTATCACTGCCAAAGCTTGTCCAAGCTCAGCTGAGAATGAGGAATTCTCGGTCCTCTTTGGCCCATCCTGTGGAAACAAACGCCTTGTTGGAAATCAAAAGTGTACCATCTACCAGGCAAAAATGGAAAACAGGACAGAGTCAAGGAACCAAGACCCAGCCAGCACTGACTGGGAGGGTGGATGCACTAAACAGTCTCCTGCTCCCAAGAGTTGGTAGCTGAAGTCATTTGCTGGTTTAAGACATTTGCAGTAGAGGCAAGCAAAATCATCCCTGGAAACTTCTGTATTTGTATTAATGAAATTGTAGACATTATTTTCCTGCTGTATAAGATACAGACAGAAGAGGGCTTTTTTGCTAGGCACTGTGGCACATGCCTGTAATCCCAGCGGTTTGGCAGGCTGAGGCAGGAGGATCGTGAGTTTAAAGCCAGCCTCAGCAATTTAGCAAGGCCCTAAGCAGTTTAGTGAGATCCTGCCTCTAAATAAAAAATTAAAAAGTGTGTGTGTGGTGGGGGAGCTGGGAATGTGGCTCAGTGGTTAAGTGCCCCTGGTTTCAATCCCTGGAAAAAAAAAAAAAAAAAAAAAAAAAAGTGGGCTTTTTTAAAACAGGAAAAAACCTAGCCTCTTTAACAGGCAATACCCTTACTTCTTAGGGCTTACTGCAAAAGATAATCTAAGTATCATATTCCCATATTTAATGGTGAAGTCTTATTCCTGTGGGTAAAATTAAACTTAGAACCATCCCAGAGGAGGAAATTAGTGAACTCTGATAAAAGGCAAAGAATTGGCTTCCTTGTGAAGGTTCACTAATGAGTTACACTCAAAGTCAAAACAGTAGCATGTGGCACATTGAATCTTTTCCAGCTCTGCATTTCCTCCCTCTACTTCTCCCCAACTTCTGCCCACATTCCACCACAATTAGAGACACCAAAGAGATAAGCCAGTGCAGTCTGCACCTCCCAAAAAGAAAGACAGCATTAAGTGGAAAAGCCATAGAGACCAATGTTCCAGTTATTACCAGGGCAACACTAAGGACAGCTGTGACAGGGATGATTGTTTCAGCTTGAAAGGCTTTTGTTAGGGATTTCAGTATTTTGTTGTTTGTTTGTTTTTGTGGTGCTGGAGATTGAACCCAGGTCCTTGTGCATGTGAGACAAGCACTCTACCAACTGAGCTATATCCCCAGCCCAAGGGATTTCAGTATTTTATTCCCCTGCTACCTACATGGCATATTTATCTGTCACCTGGTAACAGAAACAGAACAAAAAGATTCTGGTTTGTTCTATGTAATTTTTTTTTAACATTTCAATTTCTACAACAAAGAATGGATAGCTCTTCACTGCTCCCATTTGGCCCCACCTCTTTTTGTCTTCAACAGCATGATGTAGGGAAAGGGAAGTGTATTTTCTTAATGACTGCTGAAACACTGGGTATTGGCATCTTTGGATCAGAGATAAATGGCAGGGCTGATGAATTGAACAGATCATGGAACTGTGTAGCGTGGCCTCTCACCTTCTCACGCATAACAAGTTTCATTTCCTGGTGAAAGACAGACTCTCACCAGAGGTTTTTTTTTTTTTTTGTATCAGGGATTAAACTCAGGGGTACCCAACCACTGAGCCACATCCCCAGCCCCAGCCCTATTTTGTATTTTATTTAGAGACAAGGTCTCACTGAATTGCTTAGTGCCTTACTCTTATTGAGGCTGGTTTAAACTTGTGATCCTCCTGCCTCAGCCTCCCAAGCTGCTGGGATTACAGGTGTGCACCACTGTGCCCAACATTACCTGAGGTTTTTTTTTTTTTTAACATCAGAAATAAGGAATTTAAAGTTTGTATGCCAGGCATCTTTCTCCTTACCCAAAAATTCTGTTTTTGTTTTAGATACCTTTCTGCACCTCTCCCCTGTCCTTTCTATTAACCCTTATCTCAAACACATGAGACAACTAGTTTTCCACTGTACAATGTAGGGCTCAGAAAAATAATTACACAATTTATTATACCCCTCTACCTAGGGCTGGCTCCTCTTGCCCCAGGATGCAAAATGATTCCTTATACCTCAAGCATCTTCTGTTTGCAAGGGGTTCTCATCCTATGCTCTGAGTGGAGAGGACATGTAAATGACTGCTCCCAGATACAACTCAAGAATTTCTTGTTAAAACCAGAATATTCTATAGAAAATTGAAAAGAAACCCTGTTGCTAAGCCACAAAATTTCTTTTTAACCTGGTATGGTTACCATTGCCTCCAAGTGTCTTTTAGAATTCACACACACATACAAACACACACACACATACACAGAGGAGAACACAGCATTTATACAAATTCGTTATGCTAAGAAGTAAAAAGAAGAAACTATAAATCATACATAATCCTGTCATGCCAAAAAAACCACAGAGATTCTATCATATTTACTTCTAGTCTTTCTATGTATACTTAACATCTTCACTTAATTTTGAATTCCCGTTAAAATTTATTTATGTGGAAGGAAAAAAAAACACATTAGTACTCCTCATTATGCTGCAAATCCTTACTTCAAAATTGCCTTTTTTAAACTATGATTTATGAAATACATACTATTTTAGAAAATTTAGACAACAGAGGTTAAGTCCTCCTATGCATTGGCAAACACCATTAACAGTTTCTTGTAAAAAATGTGATATTTATACATTACCTTGGTGGAGCCTCTTTCTAGACCTCCTGGGTCTATTTCCACATCTTCAGGAGATTCAAGATCCAGCAGACCCTGCATTAACCCAAAAGCCCTATTGAAAATCAAGGAGTCGATTGCCGACAAAATCTACTGCACAATCTGCCAAGTTAAACTGTCTGTGTGTAAATTTTTAAGAGGGAAAGAATGAATGACATCTTTGGCACATATTTCTTTCTACAAATGCAACCCCATGATACACACCACTTGTGAGCCTTTCTCACTCTATGGATATCATCAGGAACATTTCCTTATGACCATAGTTTTCTTTAAAACATAGTTTTTGATTGTGGCAAAGTGTTGCATCCTACAGATAAGCCATGATTGGATTATGGTTATGAGTCACAGTTTTCTCTGCTGTTAAAGGTTCAAGTTCAACAATTTTTTTTTACTATAATAATTTTTGTGCATTTTTCCTGGGAATAAACTCCTAGACATAAAGTTAAGGGTTTTGAGGTACGAACTATGGTGGTGCACTCTTGTAATCCCAGCTACTTGGGAAGTTGAGGTAGGAGGGGCCTCACATATGCTAGGCAAATGTTCTACCACTGAGCCACACCCCTAGCCCTCTTTCTTTTATTTTGAGATAGTGTCTCCCTAAATTGCCCTGGCTGGCCTTGAACTTGCTATCCTCCTGCCTCAGGCTCCCCAGCAGCTGGAATTACAGGGTGTGCTACCACACTTGACTTTTATTAATTTTTTAAAATAAATTGTTTTTATTCTATGTTTTTCTTTCTATTATTAATTTCTAAGAGTTCATTATTAATTAAGCATACTGACCAATTGTCACTTATTTTGCTAATATTTTCAAGTTTCTTTGATTTCATTGGGCAGCATATCCTTTCTTACCCTTTCTTTTATATTTAGAAAGGACTCCCTATATCAGGCTCTCATAATGCTTTCTAAGCCACAAGGCAATTGGTCCAACATCCATGCCCTTCCCAAGCAGCTGATGAATGAGCTTCTTCCCTCAGGTGACAGAATGCTACACAGTTCTTTCTGTAGCCATAGCGTGCCGACAGTTTGTACTTCTAATTCCAGGCACACAGCAAGCTTAGCAATGGGAATAACTGGTCTGCCTTGGGTAGCCTCCCACTGACCCGTAAGAAATATTTTATAGAGATTCTATCTCATTTCCTCAGTGATAGCAGCTAAGAGAACTTTCTAAGCACTTTCAATCTGTATTATCTCATTTAGTGTTGCCCAAAAGCATACCAGGAAAGCACTGATACCTTAATTCTACAGTGAGGAATTTGAGACAGTTTAAATGACTTGAATGAGTTCATGTAGTCGGGAAGCATCAGAGCAAAGATTCCAACTGTTTGCACTTAACATATTCACTTAATTTTGAATTTCCATTAAAATTTATTTATGTGGAAGGAAGAAAATGCATGACTAACTACTGAAGCTGTGTTGCTAATTACTGTGTCTATAGATCTCCTATGGAAGAGAACTCAGCTTTAACATAAATAACACTTGTGGGAAAACTCCAGCCCAACCAAGGGAGGAAAGACCACCATTATGTCCTATTCCAAGGGCCCAGTTTTAGGACATCCAAAGTAAAAATGACAGTAAAAGGGGATGGGAGAAGAATAAAAAGCCCTTGATGAACACTGTATCCAAATTCATTCATAGCTATTTGTGGATGGAAGCCGTTTCCTATGCACACTGGTGTGATTGTCTCAGTGTCTAAAATAACAACTACACATCGTGCGAAGCTTCCTGGGGGGTCAGCACTGTGCCACACTTTCTATGAATATTACCACAATCTGATGGAGGAGATACTATTCCTCTCATTTTATATAGGATAAAGCTAAAACCCCAAAGGTCAAGGTCCCAGACTACTAAGCAGCCAAGCAGTACAGTGAGGCTCAGACTGTGGATGGAAGCTGAAAGATAACTCCTTCTGAAGGCAGAATGCGGGGCCATGACCTTAACTTCCCTGAGCCTCAGTTTCTTCACACTCTAGCGCCTTGCTGGTATGTCTGATTGTGCAAATGAAACATGAGATACATGTGGTAAAGTACTCAACAAACAGTAGGTGCTCATTTTTGTTTGATTGATTTTGCTTTTCTTTAAGTGACAGTAGCCACTGGACTCTTGTTAATTCAAAAGACATTTTGTAGGGATAGCCCAAACCTTTCCTTTAGGTTTACACATGTGAAACTAGCCTTGATAGGGCCTCAGAAATCCTGTCTGGGGTGTCCAGGAGTGCTGGCCTGCAGATATCCTGGGATCAATGACTCACCACTAAGGACAGGAGAACGCAAGTTGGGTTAGGGCAGAGCATGCATGCCTGTGCCACTTAGGGGTGCAGACACAACAAAATTCATGCTGTTGGGCTGCTCTCTGGATAAGATCCTAAATCTAAGTGTGCAGGTTGATGTTGTAAAAGACAATTCCAATTTTGTCTTCTTTCTGCCTCTGTTTGAATGCATGCAAAATAGTAACTTTGAGGAAAATCACACCTCTTCTCTGAAGTACCGGTCCTCATCTGTAAATTAGAGCTATTGATATCTCATATATCCCAGATCCCAGATCCTTCTACATCCTCTTAGTTGCCCTCAGTGTGGCTGCAGCCCTCTCCCCACAATGCTCCCAAAGACCTCTCCTCCCCTGAGTCAGGCCCCTAGAGATTCATGCCCAAGCTAGATGTCAGACTAGCCAGGCTCCAAGAGTCCTTCCAACTCTGATTCTCTGGTCTTCTTCCTCATTAAGGAGGGCTGATTGAGGCTTGGAAAAAGGCCTGAAGGAGAGCCATATCTGGAGCCTCAGAAGACCAGACACAAATCCACACATGTAAGGAGCAGAGCAGCAGAATGCAAGCAATTTGCTTTCCGGGCTCAGAAAAGCACCACCTCAATGACTTTACCTTCAACAGCATCTGGTATTTTATCAGTCTCTGGCTTGGTCCTCTAAGATACTTAAAAAGAGGGAGACTATGATCCAGTTGGCGCTGGCATACCTTTAAAAGTCAAACAGAAATTACATAAAACAAAACATATAAACCACACACACACACACACACACACACACACATGAGTTGTCCCGTCCCCCAGAAAGAGTATGTGAAATGAGAGAACAAGAGAGAAGGGGTGGCTTGACTTGTATTTTTATAGGAACTAAGGAAGCAGGGCCATTTTTCCTTTTCAGAAGTAAATTCACTAGACAGTGGGTATTTCAAGTCTTTCTGAAAAGGAGGCAGCCCGTCTGGAGGCAGGATGGCATCTATTTGGGTCATCTGGAGTTTGAAGGGTAGAGATGGCTTGTTGACATCATTCCAGGGAGCCACAAAGTGTGGCATTCTTGACTTAGTTCCATTTTTAAATCCCACCCAAGAAGAGGATGCTGGTTTCTCACCAGACCATTATCTGCTTCTCACAGGTGGGGTCCATAGCCAACAACGACAGCATTGAAACTTCTAACGTGTCATTTCAAAGTATGGGAGACTTGGAATAAATATAAATCCCAATACCAAATTTCTCTGCCCAGTTCACACTTTTGATTTCGATGCACATAAACATTTTCCAGGGAGAACAACCTGTGGGAGACTTTGTTAAGTTCAACTTTACCCCAAAGTAGGCACAGTCTTGACACTCTTGCCAGATGGCCATTGCTCGGGGAAGATTCCTATGGTATTTAAAATATATTTGGAGGTCTTCTTTCTGAATGGGGAAAAAATAGAACAAATTAATCAGGTAGCATTTTTCAGTCAGTGGACAGGAAGGTACAGCTTCATTTATTCATTCATTCAATATGTATTCATTGTATTTCAGTGTGTGAGGAACTGGGAGCACATAGAAAACAACCTTACGTTGGGGTAAGTATGTGATGGAGAGGTGAACAGGGAGCTCAAACAGCCATAAGTGCTCCACACAGACACAAGCAGAGTGCTATGGAGCATGTACAGGGGCTGTGGGTAAATAAATAAGTAAATTCACCAACAGAATTTGTGTGTATATATGTGGGCAAGTAATTAATTTTTAATTTTTTTCCCATATTTTTGTTGGTGCATATTTTTGGATTTATTGTTACATTTTGCACATGCACACCATATAACAATATAATTTGGCCCAAATAATTTCTTATTATTTCCCCTCTTTCTTCCTCCTGTCATTCCTTGGTCCCTTTCCTTTATGCTACCTTTGATTTTCATGAGGAACAGGAATTTTTATCTTTATCTTTCCTCCCTTTCTCTATGTCTAGGACACCAATTTCTCCCACAAACAATTCTGTAGTGAGTGATAAATCCGAAAGAAAGAATGCTGGTGGCCAATAGCCCCTCTCTTCTCTGTCACCACCTTCTCTTTATCCTGGTCATCATGATGATGCCAACCCTACACAGAAACCTAAGAAACAACTCATAACTGGAAATAGCACAAAAGCAAAATGTGGCACTTTGGACAATAAAACACAAATCTAAGTCATTTGGGCAACACTGGAAGTGGTAGCTCTGCCCCAGACATCACCTTTCACCCGCAGTCCAAGACTCTGAGACAGGAGAGATTATGGATTGTTTCAGAACTAGAGATCAAGAAGAATTCAAAGTGCTGTGTGGGAGGTAGCAGAGGAGGTAAAAGGGAGGTACTGGGGAACAAAATTGGCCAAATTACATTGTGTCTAAATTATATTGCTCATGTATGAATACGTAACAACAAATCCCACTATTATGTATAATTATAAAGCACCAATAAAAAACTAAAAAGAAAAATAACAACAAAGTGTTGTGTGGCCCCTGGTCTCATTGTGTCAAAGCCTTTGAGAGGCGGGCACACATCTGCCAATATCCCAGGGAGAAGGGACAGCCTTGGCCTAAGGGGCAGCTTGGCAGCTTTGCTGGCTTCATTAAGGGTGCCTGGTCCATAGCAGCTGTGCCTGTCACAGAGCTCATGCTGCCCCAGTGGAGAAGCCCATGTGGCCACCTCCTTGCAGATTTCTATGTGCCTTTACTTCTGCTCAGGCCAACTCTTGATTTCCTTGAATCAACATAGGTTATTTTTTCCCTCTTCACAGCTTAAACCATGTCTACTCTACTTGTAAACACACTGCTGGAGCTAGGAGTGTAGCTCAGTGGTAGTGCACCTGCCTAATATGCATGTGGCCCTGGCTTCCACCCCAGCACCAAAAAACAAAACCAAAAATGTAGGTTTGTAGCAAATGATTTGTTTCTCTAGCTCCTCCCCTCACCTGATAGATCGTAAGTGACCATTTCAGCTTAACAACTATTTCAATTCTGACCTAGGCTATCCTTACACACACACACATACACACACACACATTTAAGAAGGAAAATGGCCCTTGAAAAATGTTGTTCAGATTGACCAGAATAATAATTCAGAGCTTAACTATAAAATGGTCATTATTCATTCACTCAAGGGCTATATTGAGTGCCTTTGATATCAGACATTGTGTTAAATATGTTTGTTAAATTCAATGTTTCAAATAGCTTAGTGGTTTGGCCATAGGAAACATTCCTGCCATACGGAAGGCCAGACTTGTAAAACACTGAAAATCAATTAAGACATCTTATCTACATTTAGTCTGTCAGGTCATAAAGATATTAGATCCTATAAAATAATCCAAGGTTTCATTGCTTTCGACATTCAGTCATCAAAAGATTCTCAGAGTCTGGGGGTGATTTTGGAGACTAAGCCTCTCATCCAGTACAAGAACTTCAACAACCTATCATCTTTTCCTGAACTCTCTTAGTAATAGAGGGACCTGGTTCTACTGATAGTTGCTGAGTTGAAAGCTACCCTTCTGAAGCCTTCACTCCCTGGTCCTAATTCTGCTCTCTGAGCAAAACAGAACATAAGCCTCTAAGTATTGAAATACAGGTATTGGCCTAAATTGTTTTTGTATTAGTGAATAGTCAAAAATTCCTTTGAGATAGGATGTATACTAACTAGCAACATATGAAAATGCTAATTCCCCTCATCTCCTTATAGAATAAAGCAGAAGGCTATAAAACTGCTATCAAAAACTCATATTCATACAAGGAGACATGATTGCTATAGATTCAGACTATGAGCTTTGGTGGTAGATGGTCCAGGTTCAGTTCTCTCCTTTGTCAATGATAATCTACATGGCCTGAAGTCAGTTACTTAACCGTCCTTGACTTCAGTTTCCTCATCTGTTAAATAGGCTCATAACACTTCTGGGATTATTGTAAGATCCAATGAGATGATGTACAGAAAGCCTCAACATTTGCCCTCTATATGCACAGTACTCAGAAAATTGTAACTCTTGTCAAGACACTTCTTATTTTGTAGAACCCTTGTGCGGCCATTCTTACTTTTATTTCCCACAATGACTTTGCATATTGGTGCCATTAAGCGTGTTGTATAGAAGAGGCAAGTGAGATTTTGAGAGTTTGCTTGAGTCATACAAATAGCCAGTGGCACAACTTCAATGAGAAGTTACCTTTTCGGAGTCCCACATTCGATCATGTGAGATCTCAGGGCAATTCGAACTCCAAGTAAACTCCTGACAAATACCATTCCCCAGAGAGCAGGGTCTCTGGGGGAGAACCTTTCGGATGAGACAGGCCATGGAATCTGATTAAGACACTTGGTCAGAAATAGTTCAAAATTCAATTCCAAGATTGGTGCAATTCTGAAATGCTACTGAGACAGGATAGACTGCTATCATTTTTATTCCCTGTATTTTATCTCCAGCATTATAAATCATACAGGATTAATAGCATGGTTTGTGGTCTAGATTAATGATTTCCAAGGTTTCCCTCAACATGAAGGGCTATAAAAGCTTTGTGAAAGTACAGGAGAGGAATTCTTTTAAGAATACATGTTTAGTCAGCAATTTCCTGACTGTCTCCTCATACGTGAACCTTTTTTGTTTTTAATCATATCTATTTTTCCTTGAGGAATTTGTCCCTTTTTTCATTTAACAATTTAACCTTTGGAAGAATGATATAAGCAACCATAAAGTAGTTCTTAATTCTGAAACTAGATTCCCCGTTAATGGTTTTATGAGTGTAAAAGTACAAAATAGAATAAAACACTAATCATGTTACAGTAGTAATTTTTAAAGGGAATGAATCAGATTGAATACAAAAATAGTTTTAGTGTGTTTTAAATTCTGGCACTTGATGAAACTGTGGGGATCCCATACAGGGTCACAGAGGACTTGGTTTCTCCATTCCACCAAGTGCCTTGAAACCCAGGGACTTTTGTCCGCTTGCTTTTAGATATCTCAAGTATGCTTTCAGATGTATCAGTCGTAACTTGGGTATTTAAAATGTGTTAAGTCATTGACTTGGGTTCACAAAAAGTAAGGTAGGACTTCTTAGGAAAGAGAAAAGGAATGGGAAAGGTTGAGAAAGTGGAGGACACCAGGGGGTATCCTACGGGGGTGAGAAAGGTGGTGGAGGGGAAGATGTTGGGTTAAACAGTCCTGGCCCTAGGGAAAAGGAAGTAAATAGAGGCATGTTGTTGTAGGACAGGAAGTTCACAAATTGGGTGCTAAGCATAAGAAAGGTTATAAAGATTTCCAGTCATCCTCTATGATACTAAAAAAAATAAAACGGAAGAAAATATAATTTCTGAAATTTTTAATTTAACTTCATTATTTTGAGAGTATTAATGTAACTTCAGCATGGGGCTTTAAGCCTGCTGTATGATTCATGCCCTAAAACACAGCTTAGTCGTTCAGAAGAGGATCACCCACTATGAAGACCTTGGGTGGCCAGCCTTCCATTTCACGGGCTTTGCAGGAAGCCAGGTCTGCAGTTGCTCCTCCCTATCAGTGTGAGCCCAGGATAACTTGGGAGACTGAAAGGGCTACAAAGGACCCCTGCACTGCATTTGAAAGGCAGATAGAAGAGCTACTCTCTTAGCATATTTCAAGTATATAACATGTAATATTAACTGTGATATGTATTACATCTCCATAACTTACTCATCTTATAACTGAAAGTTTGTACCCTCTGACCAACATCTTTTCATTTCCGACATCCCACCACTTGTACTCTCTGCTTCTATGAGTTTAACTCTTTTTAGATCACACTCTGACACACACACCACGATAACCATTTGAGGTGACAGATGTTAATAAACTTAACTGTGGTAATCATTTTACAGTGTATACGTATACCATATCATCATGTTGTATATCTCCAAATATGAAATTTTTGTCAATTATATGTCAATAAATCCGGGGATCAGGGAAATTAGAGATGTTTTTAGAACTTTGGTTTTCAATTTGTCCTTGTCACTTACACAGAAAAACAAAGACTGACTTTAATCACTTGGTTATTTTTGTTCACTGGGACCACAGACTTACTCTCTTGAGAAAACAACAGGCCAGAAGTTCAGGGTTTTCGGTGCACTTTTCCAATTCTTTTAGAAAAGTCCTAAGGAAATAAAAAACATAAGGATATCTTGATTGCTACATGTGTGGGGTTCAAATTGTTTAAGGTAAAACCACATAAAGTTTTAAGAAGTGTCTAGAAAAATGCCATTCTCTAGGCTTTATTGCTGCTGACCATCTTCTACACATTCATTTGTGAGGGAAAAAAAATGTACTCTGAAATTTGTCGTCGAGCCAGAGGGGAGGAGCCGGGCTGCCGCCAGCGCCCAGAGCAGGCCCAGCGGCTCGCCAGTGTGGTGACCGCGTGACCCCAATTGGAGAGGGGGCAGAGCAGGGCCGCCACCCGCACCCGCAAGGTGGGCAGACCCGCGGCCCAGTGGTACATGGGCATGATAGGAGGGGCAGGGCAGAGCCGCCGCCCGCGCTTGCAAGGTAAACAGACCTGTCACAGACTGGCGGGTCAGGCCCAGTGGCCTGCCAGTGTGGTACACACGTCACCCCAACTGGAGTAGGGGCAGAGCAGATCCTTCTCCCACGCCCGGATCAGGCCCTGCTGGTGCGGTGGCCATGTGACCCCAATTGGAGTGGGGGCGGAGCAGAACCGCCACCCGTGCCCGCAGGGTGAGCAGACCTGTGACCAACCTGCAGATCAGGCCCAGGGGTCCGCAGGCGTGGTAGGAGGGGCAGGGCAGATCCGCCGCCCATGCCTCCAAGGTAGGCAGACCTGCGACAGACCGGCGGATCAGGCCCAGGAGCCTGCCGGCGTGGTACACACACCATCCTAATTGGAGTAGGGGCAGAGCAGAGTCGCCGCCCGTGCCAGGAACAGGCCCAGCGACCTGCAGGCGGGGTAGTCACGACACCCCAATTGGAGTAGGGGCAGAGCAGAGCCGCCACCCGTGCCTGAAAGGTGGGCAGATCTGCGACCGACCAGCAGGACAGGCCCAGTGGCCTGCCGGTACGACAGACACGTCACCCCATTTGGAGTAGGGGCAGAGTAGAGCCGCCGCCCGCGCCTGCAGGGTAGGCAAACCTGCAACCGACTGGCGGATCAGGCCCGGTGGCCTGCCGGCGTGGTACACTCGTCACCTCAATTGGAGTAGGGGCAGAACAGAGCCGCCGCCAGCGCCCAGAACAGGCCCAGTGACCTGCCGGCGTGGTAGTCACGACACCCCAATTGGAATAAGGAGAGAGCAGAGCCGCCGCCCGCGCCTGCAGGAAAGATACGCAAGCAGTATGAAAAGACAAGGAAAGAAAGGACCACAAGCAATGCAGGTCAACGCAACTTTAGAAGAGGTAACAGCTGCAGCAGATGGAATGTCAGATAAAGAATTCAGGATATACATGCTTCAGATGATCTGGAGTATCAAGGAAGACATTAAACAGCAAAATCAGACAATGAAAGATCACTTCGACAATGAATTACACAAACAAATCCAGGAAGCAAAGGATCAACTATACAGGGAGATAGAGGTTATAAAAAACAAACAAACAGAAATCCTAGAAATGCAGGAAGCAATAAACCAACTTAAAAACTCAATGGAGAATACTACCAGCAGAGTAGAACACTTAGAAGATAGAACATCAGACAATGAAGACAAAGTATTTCAACTGGAAAAGAACATAGACAGCTCAGCAAGACTGTTAAGAAACCATGAGCAGAACATCCAAGAAATATGGGATAACATTAAGAGACCAAACTTAAGAGTCATTGGGATACAGGAAGGTACAGAACACCAAACCAAAGGAATGAGCAGTCTATTCAATGAAATAATATGAGAAAACTTCCCAGATTTAAAGAATGAGACAGAATCCCAAATCCTAGAAGCCTACAGGACGCCGAATGTGCAAAATCATAAGAGATCCACACCTAGACACATTATAATGAAGATGCCCAACATACAGAATAAGGAGAGAATTTTAAAAGCTACAAGAGAAAGGAAGTAGATTACATTTAGGGGTAAGCCAATCAGGATAACAGCTGATCTTTCAACACAGACTCTGAAAGCTAGAAGATCCTGGAATAACATATTTCAAACACTGAAAGAAAATGGGTTCCAACCAAGAATTGTGTATCCAGCGAAATTAAGCTTCAGGATGGAAGATGAAATTAAAACCTTCCACGATAAACAAAAGTTTAAAGAATTCGCAGCTAGAAAACCATCTCTTCAAAACATCCTTGGCAAAACATTACAGGAAGAGGAAATGGAAAATAACAATGAAAACCAACAGTGGGAGGTAGGACAGTAAAGGGGGGGAAAATAATCAAAGAGGAAAACAAACCATGTTTAGTAACAGAAATAAACAAATATGGCTGGAAGAACAACCCATATCTCAATAATAACCCTAAATGTTAATGGCTTAAACTCACCAATTAAGAGGCTAGTAGAATGGATCACAAAACAAGACCCAACAATATGCTGCCTACAGGAGACGCATTTGATAGGAAAAGACATACATAGGCTGAAGGTGAAAGGTTGGGAAAAATCATGTCACTCATATGGACTTCAGAAACAAGCAGGAGTGTCCATACTCATATCAAATAAAATAGATTTCAAGCCAAAGTTAATCAAAAGGGATAAAGAGGGACACTACATACTGCTTAAGGGAACCATACACCAACAAGACATAACAATCATAAATATTTATGCCCCAAACAATGGTGCAGCTATGTTCCTCAAACAAACTCTTCTCAAGTTCAAGAGTCTAATAGACCACCATACCATAATCATGGGAGACTTCAACACACCTCTCTCGCCACTGGACAGATCTTCCAAACAAAAGTTGAATAAGGAAACTATAGAACTCAATAACACAATTAATAACCTAGACTTAATTGACATATATGGAGTATACCACCCAACATCAAGCAGTTATACTTTTTTCTCAGCAGCACATGGATCCTTCTCAAAAATAGATCATATATTATGTCACAGGGCAACTCTTAGACAATATAAAGGAGTAGAGATAATACCATGCATCTTATCTGATCATAATGGAATGAAACTGAAAATCAACGATAAAAGAAGGAAGGAAAAAGCATACATCACTTGGAGAATGAACAATAGGTTACTGAATGATCAATGGGTTATAGAAGACATCAAGGAGGAAATTAAAAAATTCTTAGAGATAAATGAAAACACAGACACAACATATCGGAATCTATGGGACACATTGAAAGCAGTTCTAAGAGGAAAATTCATTGCTTGGAGTTCATTCCTTAAAAAAAGAAAAAACCAACAAATAAATGATCTCATACTTCATCTCAAAATCCTTGAAAAAGAAGAGCAAAACAACAGCAAAAGAAGTAGAAGGCAAGAAATAATTAAAATCAGAGCTGAAATTAATGAAATCGAAACAAAAGAAACAATTGAAAAAATTGACAAAACTAAAAGTTGGTTCTTTGAAAAAATAAACAAAATCGACAGACCCTTAGTGATGCTAGCGAAGAGAAGAAGAGAGAGAACTCAAATTACTAGCATACGGGATGAAAAAGGCAATATCACAACAGACACTTCAGAAATACAGAAAATAATCAAAAACTATTTTGAATCCTTATACTCCAATAAATTAGAAGATAGTGAAGGCATTGATAAATTTCTTAAGTCATATGATCTACCCAGATTGAGTCAGGAGGATATAGACAACCTAAACAGACCAATATCAATTGAGGAAATAGAAGAAACCATAAAAAGACTACCAACTAAGAAAAGCCCAGGACCGGATGGGTATACAGCAGAATTTTACAAAACCTTTAAAGAAGAACTAATACCAATACTTTTCAAGCTACTTCAGGAAATAGAAAAAGAGGGAGAACTTCCAAATTCATTCTATGAGGCCAACATCACCCTGATACCTAAACCAGACAAAGACACTTCAAAGAAAGAAAACTACAGACCAATATCTCTAATGAACCTAGATGCAAAAATCCTCAATAAAATTCTGGCAAATCGGATACAAAAACATATCAAAAAAATTGTGCACCATGATCAAGTAGGATTCATCCCTGGGATGCAAGGCTGGTTCAATATACGGAAATCAATAAATGTTATTCACCACATCAATAGACTTAAAAATAAGAACCATATGATCATCTCGATAGATGCGGAAAAAGCATTCGACAAAGTACAGCATCCCTTTATGTTCAAAACTCTAGAAAAACTAGGGATAACAGGAACATACCTCAATATTGTAACAGCAATCTATGCTAAGCCTCAGGCTAGCATCATTCTGAATGGAGAAAAATTGAAGGCATTCCCTCTAAAATCTGGAACAAGACAGGGATGCCCTTCTCTCCACTTCTGTTCAACATAGTTCTCGAAACACTGGCCAGAGCAATTAGACAGACGAAAGAAATTAAAGGCATCAAAATAGGAAAAGAAGAACTTAAATTATCACTATTTGCAGATGATATGTTTCTATACCTAGCAGACCCAAAAAGCTCTACAAAGAAACTATTAGAGCTAATAAATGAATTCAGCAAAGTGGCAGGATATAAAATCAACACGCATAAATCAAAGGCATTCCTGTATATCAGCGACAAATCCTCTGAAATGGAAATGAGGACAACCACTCCATTCACAATATCTTCAAAAAAAAATAAAATACTTGGGAATCAACCTAACAAAAGAGGTAAAAGACTTATACAATGAAAACTACAGAACCCTAAAGAGAGAAATAGAAGAAGATCTTAGAAGATGGAAAAATATACCCTGTTCATGGATAGGCAGAACTAACATCATCAAAATGGCGATATTACCAAAAGTTCTCTATAGGTTTAATGCAATGCCAATCAAAATCCCAACGGCATTTCTTGTAGAAATAGAGAAAGCAATCATGAAATTCATATGGAAAAATAAAAGACCCAGAATAGCAAAAACAATGCTAAGCAGGAAGTGTGAATCAGGCGGTATAGCGATACCAGACTTCAAACTATACTACAGAGCAATAGTAACAAAAACAGCATGGTACTGGTACCAAAACAGGCGGGTGGACCAATGGTACAGAATAGAGGACACAGAAACCAATCCACAAAACTACAACTATCTTATATTTGATAAAGGGGCTAAAAGCATGCAATGGAGGAAGGATAGCATCTTCAACAAATGGTGCTGGGAAAACTGGAAATCCATATGCAACAAAATGAAACTGAATCCCTTTCTCTCGCCATGCACAAAAGTGAATTCAAAATGGATCAAGGAGCTTGATATCAAATCAGAGACATGCCGTCTGATAGAAGAAAAAGTTGGCTACGATCTACATTCGGTGGGGTCGGGCTCCAAATTCCTCAATAGGACACCCATAGCACAAAAGTTAATAACTAGAATCAACAAATGGGACTTACTCAAACTAAAGAGTTTTTTCTCAGCAAAAGAAACAATAAGAGAGGTAAATAGGGAGCCTACACTCTGGGAACAAATCTTTACTCCTCACACTTCAGATAGAGCCCTAATATCCAGAGTATACAAAGAACTCAAAAAATTAGACAATAAGATAACAAACAACCCAATCAACAAATGGGCCAAGGACCTGAACAGACACTTCTCAGAGGAGGACATACAGTCAATCAACAAGTACATGAAAAAATGCTCACCATCTCTAGCTGTCAGAGAAATGCAAATCAAAACCACCCTAAGATACCATCTCACTCCAGTAAGATTGGCAGCCATTAGGAAGTCAAACAACAACAAGTGCTGGCGAGGATGTGGGGAAAAGGGTACACTTGTTTGTACATTGCTGGTGGGACTGCAGATTGGTGCAGCCAATTTGGAAAGCAGTATGGAGATTTCTTGGAAAGCTGGGAATGGAGCCACCATTTGACCCAGCTATTCCCCTTCTTGGTCTATTCCCTAAAGACCTAAAAAGAGCATGCTACAGGGACACTGCTACATCGATGTTCATAGCAGCACAATTCACAATAGCAAGACTGTGGAACCAACCTAGATGCCCTTCAATAGATGAATGGATAAAAAAAATGTGGCATTTATACATAATGGAGTATTACTATGCATTAAAAAATGACAAAATCATAGAATTTGCAGGGAAATGGATGGCATTAGAGCAGATTATGCTAAGTGAAGCTAGCCAATCCCTAAAAAACAAATGCCAAATGTCTTCTTTGATATAAGAAGAGTAACTAAGATCAGAGTAGGGACGAAGAGCAGGAGAAGAAGATTAATATTTAACAGGGATGAGAGGTGGGAGGGAAAGGGAGAGAGAAGGGAAATTGCATGGAAATGGAAGGAGACCCTCAGGGTTATACAGTGGAGGGGGTAGAGAGAGAGGAGGGGAGGGGAGGGGAGAGGTGGGGAGGGGGGAGGGGGGAGGATGGGAAAGGCAGCGGAGCACAACAGACACTAGTATGGCAATATGTAAATCACTGGATGTGTAACTGATGTGATTCTGCAATCTGTGTATGGGGTGAAGGTGGGAGTTCATAACCCACTTGAATCAAAGTGTAGAATATGATATGTCAAGAAATTTGTAATGTTTTGAACAACCAACAATAAAAAATTAAAAAAAAAGAAAAGGAGGAAGCCACTTCCCAGAAAAAACAAAAAACAAAACAAAACAAAAAAAATGTACTCTGAGGCATTACTTTTGATGACCATGAAACCACCACAGCTGTTCTGGTCATTCTGAGCATCAGCTGCGGACAGATGGGATACACTGCTGCTACATGATGGTAATGTTCATAGCATCTGCCACTGCTCCCGCTGCCGTTGCTTCTATCAACATCTTTGAGAGCTCACTATCAGCCAGGCCACAGCCAAGTGCTTCACAAACAAACATTTCATTTAATTCTTGACCAAACTCTGCAAGACAAGGTTTCATCAGTGTGAAACCTGAGGCTCAAAGAGGCTGAATTACTTCTCTTGGGAAAATAGCAGCAATGGGATTTCATTTCAGTTTTGTGTCTGACCAATGAACAAAGAATGAGGTTAGGAGACAAATATGGTTCAATTTGCCCAGCAATCGTTCCTCCTCCATTAATCAGGTGAAAGGTCTTCAGAGGGTAAAGTAGTCAAGGAACTGCAGTTTACTCATGTGTGAAATGGGAAGGTTGGAACTGTCTTCTCTTCCCTTTCTCTAAAACTCAACATCCAAGCAACGCTGGGCTAGAGGGACAATTTGTTTGGCAAGTTAGCATTTCCTAGCACCCCGTGCCATCCTATGTTAATGGGCATGTAGGTGTGTATCTTGGTCATCTTTGTATTCCCAATGCTGAGCACAGGGTATGGCATAGAATATGTGCTCAGTAAATGCTGGTGCATGAATAAATAAATAAGCAAAGGAACACAGCTAGTAGAGTACTGAAAGACACAGGCCAATGGTGTCTTTCCCCTTCCTTATTCCTCAGGGATCCCATGGAGCTTCTCTCCCCCTTGCATGCCCATCCCACTCCAATCTAATCCACAGACTCCAAATCACTTGCTCAGGCTTGACCATATGAAAACACTTTCATCTCCAAATTCCATCAGTCTGATTTTTGCTCTTCTTTTACTTTTCATTTCTTCCCCATAATGTGAATTATTATGTACCTGCTATGAAATTCATAAAGTTCTTTAATGTTCCCAAAGAGAAAGTCCTTGTTATTCTGAAGAGCATCTGGAATCAGATGTTTCAACCAGATAAAATCCATTGGAGTGATGTATCCCTGCAGAGGTGGAAACAAGGTAGGTTTTACTGATATTATATGAAATGATCTGAATCAGCTACTTCAAGAACCAAAACTTTAATGAAATAATTGGGCAATACAGTACACATGCTTCTTGAAAGCTATTCTATTAAATATGTTCTTTAGATATCAGTTTCCTTATGTGTACATCTTCAGAAGGAGATGGCTTAATGGCAATGACAACAAAGTGGCATTTTAATTGGAAGAACTAATACATATTTTTAAATGTGTATAAGTTATATGAGTAGAATGTGAAAGAAAGGAAAAAAATTACCCATCATTTTATGATCTGCTGCAATTACTGTTAATTTTTTTATATTTCCTTCATAACTTTTAAAAAGCTTATTTTATATGGTTATAGTCATGATACATATTTATTTGTACTTTTTTTCAGGTTCATTACAGACTCAGTTTATAAAGCTCTCTCAAGAGATTTTCTTAATGTTGCTACTTATTTTCCAAAATAATCACATTTTTTAAAACAGTTGAATGTCATTTATTCAGCATATATATCATATTTTATTAACCATTCCATTTTTTAATTGGATATTTTGGTTGCTTCTGATTTTCTTATTGTGAAAAATGTATACTAAATAACATTGTACATATAATTTTTTCCTTAAGATTACTCCTTTAGTAGAAGAAGGAAAGTATACATTTTTACTCTTAAGAAAAAGATACCTTAAAACACAAGAAAGAATCTTCCCTTCTTAAGCATCAAAAGCACTTATATTATAATACCCTTTGTTGGCAAGCATGTGGTGAGCCTAGTTGGGTATTGCTGGTATCAGTATGAACTGGCAAAATCCTTTGGAGCTATTTGGTTGCAAGGACCCAGAGCCATAAGGATGTTCCTTTTCAAACCGAGGAGATATTGTGCTGTTTATTATAAGACTGAAATCTTGGTGAGATTCTAGAGACAAAGCAACTATTTTCAGTCTCTTTGTGCAACAAAACTTCTTGGTTGCATCTACGCTTAATACCCTCCCAATCTACTTACATCGATTATGCTCTCCATTTCTTTTATGTACACTTCTTCAGTCTCAAGCAAGTCACGTACAATGCGTCTGAATCACAGCAGCAGGTGGGAGATTGAAAGAAAAAGAAACAAAGGGAGGGAGGAGTGTTCTTTGAGAGTTCTTTTAGAATTATGCTCATCGACACAGGTCCCCTTAGATCCTGGTCAGTTCATTCTGTTCTATTGAACTCTGGCATCTTACAAAAGCACACTTTGCTCACACTGATATCAAGAAGAAACAGCAAGGTTAGAGGGCTCAAAATCCATGAATGAAGCCTGTTCTCTGGGTGGGCTATAAGGCCTGAGGGTGTCAAGAGAGTGGATACTGAGGTGGGGAATATCACGTTTGGATCTTTGGTCAAGAAGGTCTGCCTGACCTTCACATTGTACGTGTGGTTTCCTAGATTTTCTCTAAAGCTTTCTGCTGTTCCATTGCTCACATCAAGATCTTTGACCCACATGAATGTCTTTTTCCATCCCTGGGTTAGACAGATGCTAGTCATAGCCTTTCCTCCATCATTGAACAAACCCTTTCCCTGGAAAGAGGTAGTAGAGGGTTTGGTGAGTAGAATTCTGAGATGGCCCCTAAATTCCTGGTCCCTGGTATACAAACACCTCCTCAAAGTGAGTCAGTCAAACACTGATTTAAGTGCTGCTGTAAAGAGATTTTACTCCTTAGTTGACCTTAAGATAGGTGATCCAGTGGGGCCTGTCCTAATCATATAAGTTCCTTAGATCTGGGCCTTGACATCACAGAGATTGAAAGCACAAGAAGGATTCAGCATGGGAAATTTCTCTCTCTTGGCTTTGGAGAGGTCAGGAGCCATGTGACAAGGTACAAAGGCAGCCTCTGGGATCTGAGAGTGGTCCCCTGGGTGGCAGCCAGTAAGGAAGAAGTCGGCCCTATAGTTGCAGGCAACGGGATCCCACCACAACTACATAAAGTTAGAAGAGGATCCAGAGCTTTCTCTGAGAATGCGGCAAGTCAACTCCTTGACTTTACCTTTATGGGACTTGGAACAGAAATCCCAGTCCTGCTGTGCCTGAATTCCTGTCCCAGGGAAACTCTGAGCTAATCTGCCAAGTTTGTGGTCACTTTTTATACAGCAATAGAAAACCAACTGAAAGAGGGAGGCCAGTCCCCACATCTATCCCAAACAGGCTGTTTTCTCTCACCTTGGGCTATGAGACCACACTGATGCTTCTTTTTTTTAGGGCTTCAAGAGGGTAACCAAGTGTTTATACAAGTGTTCATGTGTACAATATATACATTTATGGTTTCCTGAGAACTGTTAGTGGGTTATATATTAAACGGAAGCCTATCTCAGAGAAGGATTTTTTTTCCTCTCATAAAAATGGATATGGCAAGGGATAAATAATTCGACAGGAAAAAAATGGGAAAAAGACACGAAATAAGAAATTCACTCAAACAAATGACTGTTAGTCTTATGGGAAAGAAATACTCAATATACACTAATTCAACAAAGGCATGTTTAAACAGGAGTAATAATTTTCATCTTTGAGGATGGTAGAAATTTCATATCCTAAAGGAAGATGAGGATATGGAAACACTCTCAGACAATATGAGTGGAAGTGTAAATTTGTGCAAGCTTTTTAGGAGATAACTTAGAAATATCACAGCTGCTTGAGGCTGTAGCTCAGTGGTAGATTATGTACTTGCAAATGCAAGGCCCTGGTGCCGTCCCCAGCACCATCAAAAACAAATAAAACAAAACAACACATGCTCCTGACTCACTAATTTCATTTGTAGGAATGTTCACGGTCACTCAAACAATATAACTTCAAGGATAACCAGATATTAACTGGAAATTACTTAAATACCTGTAAAAAAATGATGGCACATATATATAGTGAAATGCCATGCAGTTGTTAAAAAGAATGAGATCAATTGGTACAGGCCAACATGACAAAGCCCAAGTATTTTAAGAAAAAACTAAAAAAGCAAACTGTAGACAGTATGTATCAAATTACTATTTGTGTAAAAAATCAATGTGTGTATAAATGGCACATTTTTTTATCCATTCATCTATTGAAGGGCATCTGGGTTGGTTCCACAGTCTTGCTATTGTGAATTGTGCTGCTATGAACATCGATGTGGCAGTATCCCTGTAGTACGCTCTTTTAAGGTCTTCAGGGAATAGTCCGAGAAGGGGAATAGCTGGGTCAAATGGTGGTTCCATTCCCAGCTTTCCCAGTAATCTCCATACTGCTTTCCAAATTGGCCGCACCAATTTGCAGTCCCACCAGCAATGTACAAGAGTACCCTTTTCCCCACATCCTCGCCATGGTTTTGATTTGCATTTCTCTGACTGCTAGAGATGGTGAGCATTTTTTCATGTACTTGTTGATTGATTGTCTGTCCTCCTCTGAGAAGTGTCTGTTCAGGTCCTTGGCCCATTTGTTGATTGGGTTATTTGTTAACTTATTGTCTAATTTTTTGAGTTCTTTGTATACTCTGGATATTAGGGCTCTATCTGAAGTGTGAGGAGTAAAAATTTGTTCCCAGGATGTAGGCTCCCTATTTACCTCTTTTATTGTTTCTCTTGCTGAGAAAAAACTTTTTAGTTTAAGTAAGTCCCATTTGTTGATTCTTGTTATTAACTCTTGTGCTATGGGTGTCCTATTAAGGAATTTGGAGCCTGACCCCACAATATGTAGATCGGAGCCAACTTTTTCTTCTATCAGATGCAGAGTTTCTGATTTGATATCAAGCTCCTTGATCCATTTTGAGTTAACTTTTGTGCATGGCGAGAGGAGGGGATTCAGTTTCATTTTGTTGCATGTGGATTTCCAGTTTTCCCAACACCATTTGTTGAAGATGCTATCCTTCCTCCATTGCATGCTTTTAGCCCCTTTATCAAATATAAGATAGTTGTAACTTTGTGTATTAGTCTCTGTGTCCTCTATTCTGTACCATTGGTCCACCCGCCTGTTTTATACACCATGGAGTATTACGCAGCACTAAAAAATGACAAGATCATGGAATTTGCAGGGAAATGGATGGAACTAGAGCAGATTATGCTAAGTGAAGCTAGCCAATCCCTAAAAAACAAATGCCAAATGTCTTCTTTGATATAATGAGAGCAACTAAGAACAGAGCAGGAAGGAAGAGCAGGAGGAAAAGATTAACATTAAACAGAGACATGAGGTGGGAGGGAAAGGGAGAGAAAAGGGATATTGCATGGAAATGGAAGGAGACCCTCATTGTTATACAAAATTACATATAAGAGGTTGTGAGGGGAATGGGAAAATAAACAAGGAGAGAAATGAATTACAGTAGATGGGGTAGAGAGAAAAGATGGGAGGGGAGGGGAGGGGGGATAGTTGAGGATAGGAAAGGTAGCAGAATACAACAGTCACTAATATGGCATTATGTAAAAATGTGGATGTGTAACTGATGTGATTCTGCAATCTGTATTTGGGGTAAAAATGGGAGTTCATAACCCATTTGAATCTAATGTATGAAATATGATATGTCAAGAGCTTTGTAATGTTTTGAACAACCAATAAAAAAAACAAAAAAAATCAATGTGTGTTGTAAAAATATCAGAGAAAATTATTTTTATTGGTTTAAGGCATGAATAAACTCTTGATAGTCAAAATTTTAAAAAAGTCAATGTGGGGCTGAGGATGTGGTTCAAGCGGTAACGTGCTCGCCTGGCATATGTGGGGCGCTGGGTTCGATTCTTAGCACCACATAAAAATAAAATAAAGATGTTGTGTCTACCGAAAACTAAAAAATAAATATTAAAAAATTTCTCTCTCTCTCTCTCTCTCTCTCAAAAAAAGTCAATGTGTGTATGTGTAAAACTACAAGTAGAATTATAAGTGTTTCAAAAATGAATGCAAAGACACTGACAATATGATTACAGGGATTGCATTTGGAGAGTAAACCTGAAGACCAGAATATGAGAGGAATTTCTACATTTTACTTTATACCCTTGACAATGTCTGACTTTCTTAAATGGAAGAAACATTTACTGCTTTTATAATTTTTAAAAAATGTCTTCATGGCATTTTAAGATGAATATTACTGGAGGTAATGGCATGCAAGCCCCATTTCAGAACTATAAGTAAGTCATACAGTTTACACATGTTATAGCTCAATGAGTCATTCTTAAAATGGGTTTTTGAATCTATTTATTAATGCTTGTTATAAGACAAGACTGATAAAGTATATGCACTGACAGAGGATAAAATGTCAAGAAGTATATGAGACTACCAAAAATTACCTTAGGACCATACTTTGCTAAGAGATTCTTGGCTTTTTATAAATCATCCTGAAACGATGACAGTTGCTATGTCAGTACCAATCTGTTTCCATGAGCCACGACATCACTAGAGCCACAGCACCAATTCAGTGTTCATAGCAACCAGAACACCTCCAGCCTCCTCTGCTCTCACCAAACACTGGGCCTGAAAACCAGCAGGTCAGCTTAAGGATGGATTGATGATTAAATGAGACAGATGGTAGAAATAACTCAGTGGTACGTGGAAATAAATCCTAGTATCCAACAATCATATAGGAACTTAGAGATCTTAGGAATTTTTAGGAATCTGATATAGGAAAATAGTTACAACGAAGAGGAAAGAAGAAAGAAGAAAGAAGAAGAAGAAGAAGAAGAAGAATCCCTTGTTAGGTCATGTCCCAGTTTGTAGTTTGGAAATTAGTCTATAGAAATTAGACTATATTCTACTGCTTCATTTTACCTTTTGGGGTATAACAGATATAACTCCAATGACAGGAACTCCTCTGAAAACTGGCAGCCTATATTTCAGTTCAAATTTTAAAAATAATAATAATCCTCACACCTCCTGAAGCTATTATTCTTTCTTTTCTCTTCTGTTTCTTTTAAAACAGGAGAAAATTTATATCTCTTGCTGAGGATTGCCTGCTGCTATTCCAAAGTGTGTTACATTGCTCACAAAAAAAAAAAAAAAGACTTTCAAGGATTTACATGGAAAATCATAAAGCATATATAGTGCAAATGACCAGAAAGTATTGGTAGTACTCAAGTCATTTAAAAA